TGTGCTCAAGGCTAGCACTCTATCACTTGAGCCACAGCACCACTTCTGTCTTTTTCTGAGTATGTAGTTTATGGGAGATAAGAGTCTCATGGACTTTTCTGCCCAGGCTGGCTTTGAACCATGATCCTCAGGTCTTAGCCTCCAGAGTAGTTAGGATTCTGTGAGACTCTTATCTCCAACTAACCATCAAAAAGCCAGAATTGGAGCTGTGGCTCAAGTGGTTAGGACATTAACCTTGAGTAAAAAGCTAAGGGTTAGAGCCTACTGGCACAAAACTAACAAAAAAAAACATGTCAAGGAAATCCCCTCTGGATTTTCTTTTCCTCTTTGCACACAGACTGCAGACTTTGGAAGGGAAATGGGCAGAAGAGAGTGGTACCTGACAGACCTAAACTTCAAGGTCAGAGCAAGACCAAGTTGCTACCCAGGCAATAGGATGGCTGGAATCCTTGGTCTAGTCTGATGTCCTTCCCCACCCCAAGGTTGCATGCACTGCTGTACTCAAGCAAGCTGTGGGGAAGGTGAAGCTGCTTCCCATGCTGGAAAATAGGGGTACAGGGACCTGTCCCTGGACTTGTGGGTGAGCTAGAAAATGGGGAACAAGGAAGAGGAAAGGCATGGGGGAGTTGGGAAGGGGTATAGAAAAGCTCATCTGGCTTAGGTAGCTCCTGGGTCTTGGACCCTTCTTGCCTAAGGTAAGAGGCAGGAACTGAGCTGTGGGCTCTGAGGGAGAGCCCTCCTCTCTGGCCCAGCCAGCCAAGAAGGGCTGGATCCTGGGAATATGCAAATAAGCCAGCGGGTAGGTCCCAGTTGGGGATAGCACATCTGGAGCCTGGAGCAGTGTGGTTGGAAATAGACTAGAATAAACATAGAGGAGTCCCTTGGGAGCAGGAAGCCAGTGCAGACTAAGGGGAGGGCCCCCCAGCCCAAGCTGTTCCCTGGCCTGGTTGGGCTGGGGGTGGGGCAGCAAGGAGATAGTGGGCAGTAGGGCAGCCCTTTGGGCCTGGAAAGAAAAGGACGACTCCAGAGAGTAGAAGAGGAGGTAGACAAGCTGTTGGGGGGTCTTTCATGAAATCTGCATTGACAGGACAGATCCCTGAGAGTCATAGGCTGACATTCAGCCTGTTTCTTTTCTTTTCTGAGCATTTCCATTCACTGGCTGCCCCAGCAGCTGACCAAGCATGACCAACTTTAGAGGATGGTCCCTGAATCTGGAGTGCTAGGTCAGCCGGGAATGTGCTGTGTGACTATGAGTATGTCACTCACCCATGTTCTGATCCTGTTTTCTTCCCTGTCAGAAGAAAGGACTTTGGCCTCAAACCCTAGGAATCCTCTTCTTTAATCTATCCCTTCACTGTCTCTCACTTATACAGCTCCCAAGCCCACCTGGTTAGGCCAGCTGGCTCCTCCCTGCAGCACATTACTGCCCACCTGCCATTGCCATGTGGATCCCTCCCCAGGAATGCCCACCCCACGCCTTTTAACTGCCCACTTTGCTAGAATAGTACAGAACCTTAAGAGGGCAATTACTGTGCCTTTACGTAAACTATTGAATAGAAAGTACTTTTAATAATGTATCCAAAAAATGTGTGTCTAAATTCTATACAGGGTGTAGAAAGGTGGAGTTTTTTCATGGGATATTATGCCCTGAAAGCAGAGGGGAAAAAAACCCACAAAATACATGCTATAATTAAACATGTGTGTGTGTGTGTGTGTGTGTGTGTTTATACCCAAAATTAAAGAATGAAGTAATTGCTCCAGAGGGGTGAGAGTGGGATGGGTGATTGTTTCAAGTGTCTTTACTGTGACTGTGATTATCTTTTTCATACACACACACACTGCTTTTGAAATTAAAGATTTACTTTCAGATCCCTCTGGCCCCACATCCTCCTTGAAACCTCCTTACCTGCAGCCCACAATTTTTTCCTCTTTGGATTCCTGAGGCACAGGTTTCCTTAGAGAACAGTAGGAGGCAATATAGCATCTAGCAATGGGCTCTGAGCCATTAGCCAGCCCTGTCAAGTCCTGATCATCTGGCCCTGGCTATATTATCTTGGATGGATTCCTGAAGCCCTCGGTGCCTCAGCTTTCTTGATCTACTACTGTGACAGAGTCCCTCCCCACTGGACCCCAAGATCACAGACAAAACATTCAGCACCATGCCTGGCTCTTTCTTCCTAAGTGCTGATGCTATTCTCACTGTCACTGGCATCTTACATAGCTCTCAAGACTTGACATTTTGTCCTTCAAATTTGAAAACAGACTACTCCAAGGTAGAGCATGAATTTCAGGGTACACACTGCAGATGCCCTCACCCCTGCTCTTTTCCATGCTTTCTACTCCAGAAGTGACAGTACTCCAGGCAAAGGAAGCCAGAGGCTCACCCTATGACAGAAAACAGGATCTAGAGGTGAGCAGATCACCACAGCTCTTTGTCCTGGCCACCCAGCCATGCCAGGGTCCTTCCCCAGGTTGGGAGATTTCTTGATGAAGGCCTGAGACACAAGACCATGGCATGGAGGAGAGGGCATGGCCTTCCCTTTGTACTGTCAGCAGGGGTTGCTGGGCTTCAGTGTTCTCATCCTGAGGTGGGGAGATCTGGCTATGTTCCTTGTAGAGCTGGTGCAAGATCACCCAAGACAACATTTGGCAACAGAGCTTCCAAAAGCCTAAGTGCTGGATACACACGTGTGGATCAGTGTTGCTATTTACTGGTCACTAAATGCTGTCCTACCATTTCTCCTTCTCCATGTTTCCCTTCTCCCCCTCCCTGCCATGGCCACATCTGGCAAACCCAGAAAGGGGGACTCCTTCCAGGAGCAAATGCCTGGATCTTAGGTAATGGGGCCCTGGCTGTTCTCTGGCTGGACTGAGTGGGAGAGACAGAGGAAAGGAGACAACATAGCAGGCCTTTGCCTCACCTTTCCTTCAGGTCACTCAAGTATCCTTAAGCATTGAATCCTAGCCCTACCACAAGCTCTTATCTTCAGGATCTGCTGAAGTGAACAAGGCCATGCTCCTGGGCTGGGGCCAGTTCCCTTCATCGACCACAAGGCAGAGTAGAAAGTGGGGATGAACTATAGGAAAGACCATCCTGTGGCTTTGTGGGGCATGGCCATGTGGGAATGTCTTGGTACAGACTGTCTACTCAGCCTGGCCATACTCAGTGGCTCTGAGGATAGTAACAGGGCAAAGCTTTATGAGCCACCGCATGCCCCTGGAGGGACACCTCCCTCCGGATCCACAGGAGACTGAGTGGTGGGGGACTTCAAAGGCCTCTGGGGGCCTCAGGCTCTGAACTGCTGGCTTATTGGCTCAGGTCAGCTGGCAGCAGGAAGGTTTGTGTTTCTTTTAATATCAACTCCCAGGCATTTAACATTCCTTGAAGCTTAAACACAGAAACATTTTCCTTAGCAGCCTGTGCTTTCTGCTCTGCCAAACATAACCTGGCTGTCTCCCCTCCCCCTCTGCCTCCATCTGCTCCTGTCTCCAAGATGTGATGATTTATAGCGTGCTTCCCCAGGGCCTGTGCAGCTGAGTGAAGGGAGGGGAGTGAAACCTGAAGTCCAGGTAGGAGAATGACACCTTCTGGTCCTGGAATTTGAGTTCTAAAGGGATTGCAGGACCAAGTGCCCACCTAGCTGGCTGTCCTCATTCACCTTTCTGTTCCATCAATGGCCCAGGGAGTACAGCAGCTGCTCAGGTCTCTTGGGGCTGGACAGGTGTCTCTAGCTTAGAATGTCCTCTCTGCTTGCTCCCCTGTCCTAGCCTCCTGGGATGTGTAGATGGGGTTCCTACTGCATATCCCTGTACAGAGCAGGTTCTGGGGACTGGATTTTGAGCATTCTCGTATCATCATCCCCATTTCCTAAGTAATGAAGGGCTGCTATACAGTTGCCTAGCAGCACTATCTCCCTGGTGACAGCGCTGAGAAGCAGGGTGCAGGTCCCACAGCCTCAGGAAGGGATGCATTCAACAACATGAATGACATAAAGCAGGTAGATAGGCCTCAACCAAATGGGACAAGTGAGGGAAAGTAGGAGACATCCCCTCCCAGATCTCAATTCCATCAAAGACACACAATCAAGAGCCAAATACCAAACTCAAGCCTCAGTATGCACCATACAACAAACAACCCCTACAAACACACACACACACACATTATTCCGGTTCTGTCTCATCATTCCACTTCCGTCCCATGGACAGCAATGGTCAAGAAGCCTGGAGGGCCCAATGTTCATGGCTCAGGCCTGGCATAGCCCATCATTGTTCCCTTTGATTTTCTGGTCACAGACTCTACTAACTTTTGTCTTAAGCATGGGGCTCTGTACCAAACGCCAGATGAGAGTGTGGATGGCTCCATGCTGAATGGACTCGACTCCAAGCCTGGTTCTCTTGATAGTTAAGTATATAGCAACCATCTCCAAAACTGGAAAAATGTCTCCAGCATGCAAGCCAGCAAGCAAGGCTTGTTTCATTCCATATATTACAGAGCACCAAGAAACAGCTGAGCCCTATGTACACTTACTCTAGTTGAGGAGCTAACTTAAGACAATGACTTCCAACACAGGGGAGGACAGTCCAGCAACCAAGCCAGATCTCAAGCCCTTGTGGAAGAGCAAATGTTGGGGACATGTGTCTCTTTCCTATCCCATGTCCATGGCAACACTACTCCGCAAACATGGTATTCTCTTCGGCTCATGATGCAGCCTCAGAATCCTTCTCAACACACTGGGGCCTAAAAGCGCGGTGTGAAAGCCAAAGAGGGAGCCATGCGTCAAGTACATCCTACAGCAGCATAGATGATCCACCTGAGCCAGCTGTGGCTGCCTGAGGAACCAGGCCCCTGTGGGCTGCTGAGGTGAAGGTAAGAAGCCATCTCCAGCACAACCACAACCTTGGAGAACTTTTCTCAAACCAGCTTGGACCCAAACTAAAAAAGGCAAGTGCCTTGATCAAGAGGACACCTGAGAAGGGCCTTCTGTGCCTTGAATCCTCACCTGGATCTGCCCTTTGCCCATGATCTTATCCACGATCTCGTTGTTGTCCTTATTAACCTTGGTCTTGTCATAGCACTTCTCATAGCACAGGATCCTCAGGGACTGAGAGCCCTCCAGTTCAATCTCAAACTCCTGGGGAGAGATGGGACAAAGGGTCATGAGCCGCTGGAGCCAGGACATGTGGTTTCCTGACAGGTGTAGGCCTCAGCTGTGCAAGAGTGGGGTGAACAGAGACTGCATGGCAAGACATGGGAAGGGTCTTTATTTTCTGGAGCTCTTACAGGCCTCCATATGAGTGATGAAGTCAAGTATGGGAGCCTGAGTTGAAATCCCAGTGTCTGATGCCCACTGACACACACACAATGGCCGGTGCTAGATAAATAGGGAGGGGAAGGAGCAGGGTTACAGAGACAAGGTTGAGGCAAATTACTGGCTTGGCCATCCCTAGTAGATAAGGTTATGGGACAGGTATGATAGGTGGATCAGAGGTCCTTGCGGGGAACACCAGCTCCCTTCACTCACCTCATCCCATTTGGGCTCTGTTGTGTCCCGAAATACCCTGGTTTTGGCTTTGCTGACAAAATAGCCAAAGGAATCCACCTCCAGGGTACAGTATAGATCTGCAGGGGAAGGACAGACAGACATACCAAGTAAGGTCTGAGAAGCCCAGGCATGAAGTCAGGGCAGGGGTAGTGATGGTGAGGGCCTTGGGAAGGGGGAGAGTGCATCTAGCTTCCCAACATCCCCTTTAGAAATGATCTGAAGGGCCGGGCTGGGCTGTGGTACAAGGAGGCATAGATTTCTACTGCACCCCCATGTAACCAGGGCAGGTTGTTGGGAATCCTCTAAGCCTCAGCTTCCCTGTGTGTTGAGTGGAGAGGATAGCAGTGCCATAGAGGGGTGCTGGGGCATCAGGGCAGATAATGATCCTCCAAAGGCTTTGAACACACCAAGCCACTGTCAAAACATTGCCATGTTCTCATTTTCTCCAGGTATGCTGGAGGTGCTCTGTGTTTTCACAGCATCATTCAGTTTTTCTAGACTTAGTCATCCAAGGGATAAAGAAGGCCTGGTTCCTGCCTTCAAAGAATTCACAGTAGGAGAGGCAAATTATAAATGACAAAACAGTATGACAGGTACTGTTCCCCACTGGTGGGGAAACAGAGGGGTGACCAATTCACCTCAGGAGGACAGGAGGCTCCCCAGATGGTGCAGGTGGCCAACAATAACACCCAGTGAGGTGCCTGTAGAGAACTGCAAGGGCAGATCTTGCCTGCTGGAGAGCAAGAGAAGGCAGTGGGAAGGGGAGGCGAACAAGAGTTCTTGATCTGATTTGATTTTGAAGTCCTATCACCTCTGTGACTCAGTTTCTTCACCTGGCAAATGGGTTAGACAGACTCAGACTTTCATGTGGTTTAAAAAGTAGATATAGTGGGGTTGGGAAGGTGGCTCAGTGGTAGAGCACTTGCCTTGCATGCTCGAGGCCCTGGGTTCGATTCCTCAGCACTACATAAGAAAAAAGCCAGAAGTGATGCTGTGGCTTAAGTGGTAGAGCGCTAGCCTTGAGCTGAAGAGCTGAGGGACAGCGCCCAGGCCCAGAGTTCAGGCCCCACGACCGGACCCAAAAAAAAAAAAAAAGTAGATATAGTATAATTGGAGTTGGAAGTACAGCTCAGTAGTAGTGTGCTAGCCTAGCCTATGCAAGAAAGTCCCATAAACAGATTTTTGTGAAATGTTAGAAACCTGTGTTACTAATCTACACATTTAGGAGATGATGACAGAGCAGGGGAGGAAAGGAGGATGTGGTGGTGTAAGACATCCATGGTCACATTCAAGCCCACTCTCAGGGTGGTATGGACAGGTATGATGGCCTTTCATAGAGAAGGAAGCTGAGGCTCAGAGATTAAGATGCTTGCCCAAGGTTAGACAATGGGTACCTGGCAGATACAGAGTTAGAGGAGTCAGAAGCTCCAGAGCTTCAGATTCCTGGAAGGAGGGCTCAGGGGAGAGTAGATGGAGAAAAAAGGCAGGGTAGGGTTGTTCACCTGGTTCAAAGAAAGGGGGAGGGGAACGCCCCACATCTTTAGGTACCGGCCTGTGCAGATCAGAGCAGGTCTATAGGGGCTTTAAGTGAGAGATGAGCAAAGGCACCCAACTTCTACAACTCAGAAAGGCACTTACTGGCTGACTGTTTAAACCCCTTAGCAGAGTGGACGATGACATGAAGGAAGCCATATAGTCCAGGAGACTCATCATCTGCAAGAGAAAAAAGCCCCAGGTAGGGGTGGTGGATGAGAAGCTCATCTTCTCTTCTACCCCAAGCTTCTGGGAAGGAAGAGAAGAAAGAGTGAGACTGTCTGAGTCTTGGTCCCACAGCACCACCTGGTGGCAGGCTGAAAAAAATTTCCAAAGCCCACTGTGCCTCTTCCAACTAGAGCTGTGGCCAGCCTGAAAGGCCAGCCTACATATATCCCTACAGTCCTAAATCCAATATTTGGTACCAATTCTCAGCATACTTTCTTGCCCTCTGAATCCTGCCTACCATAGCTTCCCTCCTCTAAGTTCTCAAAATGGAAATAAACTAATCAGTCCCTTGGTGCTAAACGAAGAGAGCAGGCTCAGCTTGGCTCTGCTTGGGACATGACAGGCCCTAGAAAAGCTAGATAGGAAGGCATCAAAAATCCCTTTCACAGAATAGGACACTTCTGGAAAACATAGCTAATAATTTTCACCTGCTCTGGGCTACTTTCCAGCCTGATTATAGACCTCTCTACTCAAAAGCTTCGCAGAGGCTCCTGGAGTTAATGAATGACTTCTAAACTCACTTGGTTGCCATTGAAGGCCTTTCAAGATCTGGTTCCTCCAAACTTTTGGGCTGATTTTTCATACGTGACCCCTTATCCACCACCATCTTCCTGTTCTCCTGCCCACACTTTAGACTCTGCTGCCACTGTCAGACTTCTCACAAACCAGAAACCATCCCCACACTCTGGGTCAAGGTGCACACTCTTCTCTCAAGCCAGAGTGAGGCAAGGAGGACCTGGGGACCAACTGGGAACTCTGTGTACATGGTAACAGAACAGTCTCAGCCTGAGCACAGTTAAGCCATGTAGCTTTAAGTCCTGCTGAGTCCTTACTGACACCCTCAGCAGTACCCTGGGGGCTTGGATGTGCTAGCTGGGCAACCCTGGGTTCTAGGTCTTACCATCTTTATTGCTGGTGACAGGAATGTTGTGTACAGTCCTAAGCTTGAAACAGGATCCCGTGAGCACCTGGAGTTCCACTGAGCTCAGGACAAAGGCCTGGAGATCTGTAGGAGGAGCCAAAAGAGAAGGGGAGGGGCATCAGGCCCAACCCGGGGGCCTACCTGCTACTCTTCCTTGGAAGAATACTGCCAGGAAACAGATTTGGATGTGGAAGTAAAGACATCTGAATAGGTGCAGTTGTGGTGTTGGCAGAGGGACAACAGTAGGAGGGAGAGCCAAGAGAAGAGACTCAGTGTGTATGTGTGAGAGGATGAAAGCAAGATTAAGTGAGGATGACCTCTCTGTCCTCTGCTCTGGGTCTACTATCACTAATTCATCAAATGCCTTAAGCAAATCACTTCAACTCTTTGATTGTTCAGTAAACAAAATCTAAGGGCCACCTTCCCTGGCATCTTACAGTGGCTGTGAGGACTGAAGAAAGGAGAAGATACCAGATGTAAGAAGGGTTGGACATGTATAGGACTGTCCTGCCATGGACATCCTCAGGGTAGCACGAAGCACAGCAGGGTAGTGTAGGGTAGGGCAGGGCAGGGCAGGACCTTACTTACCCTTCTTCTGTAGTTTCTGAATTGCTTCTCTCCACTCTGACCTCTCATAGTCTGAGGAGAGTAGGAACAGGTAGCTCTGAAGAGAGGAGAGGAGAATTCAGTTAGCTCAAATTGATTTCCAGATTCTGGAGTCCCCAACAAGGTGCCATCTTACCAAGTCTTCCCCCCCACCCCCCCTCCCGCCCCCCCTTGGAGAAGACCTTTCTGGGAAGCCAGATAGGCATGCCAGTGCCAGTGCCAGTGATGACCAGCAGAGGGCACTGGTTCCCCATCAGTAGGGAGAGGGAGTCCAGGGCTGGAACTATGGCAGCTTTCGTGAGAAGCGAGGGCCCAAATTCCCAATTCTGGGGCTATAGGTAGTCGGAAGCCTTAGAATAAAGAAAGGGATATCCTTTCTGACCTTTCCATTTCGATTATGGATCCGAAATGGGATTGTGGGGGAATTGAGCAGCAGCAAGAACTCATTCTCAAACATCTTCTTTTTGAGGCGCTCGATGGCCCGGCTCTGCCCTTTGTTGGCTTTCTGCAGGGGATGAGGCACAGATGGTTTCTCTCACACTCAGACACCACATCTCACTCAGCAGCTAAGCACAACATCCCCCTGTGTGTTAATTATGGTTTTGTATTTTCTTTCTTTTTTTTTCTTTGGGTCCGGTCGTGGGGTCTGAACTCTGGGCCTGGGCGCTGTCCCTCAGCTCTTCAGCTCAAGGCTAGCGCCCTACCACTTGAGCCACAGCGCCACTTCTGGCTTTTTTCTTTTTTGCTTATGTGGTGCTGAGGAATCAAACCCAGGGCCTCATGCATGCAAGGCAAGCGTTCAACCACTGAGCCACCTTCCCAGCCACTGATTTTGTATTTTCTATATGTTTTCACATCTGGGATGGCTAGCAAGGTGAGGAGAACCATGCCTTCCAGGGCTGGTCAATGCTTAACCAGTTCTCCTGTGTGTACCTTCCTGAGTTGAGCCTATGAATCCAAGGACCAATCCCCAACTACCCTGGCATCTAACTCACACACCAAGCCAGAACTTCCTCTGCTCCAAACCACCAGGGGTAGGGACCAGACAACTGAATTATCCTCAAATCCAGAGGCCCTCAATATTATCTGAACTGGCCAATCTAAAGCTGCTCTCCTTTCCATACTTCTCTAGAAACCTCAATAATGCTGTGTCCCAAGTGCTCCTCTTGTTCCTTTTGTCCCGTGATCGACTCTGGGAAGTCCCCTTTTCTAGGTAACTAGAGGCAATGAAAATCTTTCAGTGGTAATAGATCTCTACATAGTTCTTTAGTCACCTGCATATATTAAGTCCTAGGTACAACAGATACATGTTAAAAATACAACAGATATGCGCTTCAAAAATCTTCAGATGGGCTGGGAAGGTGGCTCAAGTGGTAGAATGCTAGCCTTGAGCAAAAGAAGCTCAGGGACAGTGCCTAGACCCTGAGTTCTAGCCCCAGCAAATACCAGCAAACAAACAAAACAAACAAACAACAACAACACAAAAACCCCAGTGCTAAAAGGAGCTGGGGGTGTGGCTTGGTGATAGAGTACCTGCCTGGCAGGCAAGAGGCACTGAGTTCAAACCTCAGTACTGCTCCTCCAAATCAAATATATTTATAATATATATTTATATGTATGTGTGCACCCTCCCCCATGTACCATATAAGCATACAAAAGTCTAAAATAGACCTCACACTGTTAGTGGGAGGTAAGTTTTACCTTGTTAACTTCAGTATTGTGAGCATTTTTTTAAATCATCAAAAGCCAGTATTATATTAATAACTAGAAAAATGACATTTATTATTAAAAGAATCAATCTTGGGGCTGGGAAGGTGGCTCAGTGGTAGAGTGCTTGCCTCCCATGCATGAGGCCCTGGGTTCGATTCCTCAGCACCACATAAGCAGAACAAGCTGGAAGTGGCACTGTGGTTTAAGCGGTAGAGTACTAGCTGTGAGCTGAAGAGCTGAGGGACAGCACCCAGGCCCAGAGTTCAGGCCCATGACCACCACCACCACCACCAACAACAACAAAAAAGAATCAAACTCAGCGGGTGTGTTGATTCACAGCTGTAGTCTCAGTACTCAGGAGGATAATGAGTTTGAGAGCCAGCCTGGGCTAAATACTGAGACATGTCTTAAAAACAACAATACATTTCTGCTCCTTCAGTGACTCAGGAAATAAGACCTCTGCCTATGCAGTGACTCTTGTCACATGACTCTCGTCCCGTAGCAGTATCACATCTGTCTGCCTTCTGCCCTAGAAAAGAGCTCTGTGATGTGTTTGGTTCATCCCTACAGCCCCTGTGTATGTATGGCGGGGGGTTGCATGCAGGACATCTATAGAGTGGAGACAGTAGCAGTGAAAGAAGGGGAAACAGGCTCAACTAAAGCAGGCTCCTCCCAACCTTTCAGGAGGAGAACACCTGTGCTGGTCAGGGAGCTTCCTCTGGGCTGGTATGCCCCTAGATAAACTATAGTCCTAGAACATCCACCTATCCCAAATAACCAATCTTTTCCTTCCTCAGAGGCCGTCCAGGCATGTGTGCACTATGTTATTATATGCTAAGTACTGTGCACAGGACTGGAAAAGAGAGAGACATTCACCGGGGCTCCAGTAACAGTAAGGAAGAGAAAAAGCAGACCAAGCTGGGCACTGGTGGCTCATGCCTGTAATCCTATCTACTCAGGAGGCTGAGATCTGAGGATCTTGGTTCAAAGGCAGCTTGGGCAGGAAAGTGAGACTCTTATCTCCAATTAACCACCAGAAAACTGAAAGTGGCTCTATGGCTCAAGAGGTAGAGTACCTGCCTTAAGCTGAAGAACTCAGGGCCAGCGCCCAGGCCCAGAATTCAAGCCCCACAACTGGCAAAAACAACAATAACAACAACAACAAAGCAGCAGACAAAGCAACTGTAATCAGTACATGAAAACCAAGCCAAGGTGAACTCCAGGAACAGGGAGTAGGGATTGTGGAGAAGGCTTCCCAAAAAAAGAAGAGGTCTAAACCAAGCCTAGACAGGCAACAAAGAGACCAGGCCAACCAAGGCATCACCCATTTGCATGTTGTATATAGTAGTTCACAATTTCTTTTTTTCAATTTATTAAAAAAAATTTTTTTTTGTTTATGTGGTACTGAAGAATCAAACGCAGGGCCTCATGCATGCTAGGCAAGAACTCTATCACTAAGCCAAATTCCTAGCCACAATTTCTTTAACATCAAAGTTTTAACTTTCTCATCATGTAATTAATACTTCAGTTTTGTTGTTGTTGTTTGGTGCTGGTCTTGGGGTTTGAACTCAGGGCCTGGGCGCTGTTCCTGAGCTTCTTTTGCTCAAGGCTAGCACTCTATCATGGGAGCCACAGATCTACTTCTGGCTTTTTTAGTGGTTAATTGGAGATAAGAGTCTCATGGACTTTCTTGTATACTATGCTGGCTTTGAGCCTAGATCCTCAGCTCACAGCCTCCTGAATAGCTAGGATTACAGGTGTGAGCCACTAGCACCTGGCCTATATGTGCTTTAAGTTCTGAAGTATGTCTGTAAACATAACTTGTCTGCTACCAATTATTATTACTTTTTTAAAAATTGAGATTGTTTTTGTGAATTATTATAAGGATGAATATTTGTGAATGTTCTCATGTGTGTCAGAATTAAGAGTCTTCAGTTCTGTCAAATCAAGAGCTTTACAAGTATTTGTAGGTCAGGCATGTTAATTGAGAGAAACTCAAGTTCTCTCTCTTCCTATGTACTTACTTGATCTGCCAGTTTCTAATTTTGTTTTTAGTTTCTCTCTCTCTTTCTCTCTCTCTCTCTCCTTCCCCCTCCCACACACACACCTCTTCAACTCAGGGCCTGGGTATAGTCCTGAGCTCTTTTTGCTCATGGCTAGTGCTCCACCACAGCACCACTTTTGGTTTTCTGGTGGTTAATCTCACAGACTTTGCTGCTTAGGCTGTCTCTGAACCACAATCCTCAGATCTCAGCCTCCTGAGTAGCTAGAATTACAGGCAGGAGCCATCAGCTTCTGGCTTAGTTTTTTCTTGCATATGTCCTATGCCTGTTATTCTTCCCTTGCTTCTTTTTCTATAGTGGTCAACACCCACTGTTCTCCAGGAAATTACCAAAATTAAGCCCACGAAATACTGAGCACTGGCTCCTTGTCTATCTCTCAGAGTCTCAGAGCTGCTCCACCTTAGTAAGGGGCTTTTCCAGCAGCTATACATGCTTTCATCCTGCCTCCCCCATACACACTCATACCTTACAAACCAACCCGCTGGACACAGGGCTCAAAGAGTCCCAGTCAAAACAGTGTCACGCTCAGTTGCCAGGCTTTGCTCACCTCCTTCTGGATTTCACTCTTGAGAGCAGAGATCTTCATTTTCATGTCCTCCAATTCATGGTCTGGGAAGAGGTGCACCTGAGGGCTAGGCTCAGACTCCTCAGGGGATGGAAACACTAAGTCGGCCAGGGGGATGTACCACTTGCAGTCATATTGCTGGTGCTTTCTGCAAACAAACCAAGCAAGGGAGGCATGAGCCAAGAGGAAGGAGGCTCTCCAACCCAGAACTGCTGGGCCCCGAACCAAAAATAACCTGAAAGAGATTTACTGAGAACTCATCAGAGGCACAAATGATCCCTGCCTTCGAGGAAACACACACATAGAGTAAGAAGAGTTGGTTACTGAGTCAGCCAGCAGCGAGGGCTCTGTTCTTCACTTTACCAATTTTCTGATCCAGTAGGACCTTGTTTTTAAATATCCTAAATCACTTGCATATCAAAACAAGTGACTCTTTCTTGTTTGAGCTCATACTTTTCCTATTCCCCATCCCATATTCTTTTCTCTCCTCTAGCCTATCCAAACTGAGGCTTATATTCATTATTCTTTTGGTTTTTTTTGGTCGGCCGTGGGGCTTGAACTCTGGGCCTGGGCGCTGTCCTTCAGCTCTTCAGCTCAAGGCGAGCGCTCTACCACTTGAGCTACAGCGCCACTTCTGGTTTTCTGGTGGTTTATTGGAGATAGGAGTCTCACGGTCTCTCCTGCCCTGGCTGGCTTTGAACCGCGATCCTCAGATCTCAGCCTCCTGAGTAACTAGGATTACAGGCGTGAGCCACCAGCGCCCGGCTTATATTCATTATTCTTTAGGGTAAGTATTGGCTACAGATGTTATTCTAAATATTAAATCTGATCAGTAGAGGCTATAGGGCACAGGATTGAGGATTATAAAGCTAAGTCTAGTGAGAAAGAGTGTCATGGTTGATTAGCAATGTCTTCCAGGGGCAAAGACCTGAAGGCAGAGGTTTGTGTGCTTATCATTGCAACCTCTGCTTTGGAACTATCTTGAATGAGATCTGGTTCCACAGGGTAAAGTCCTTTATTAAAGCTCCTAATGATCTCCTCTTCTCCAAGTTCCTCTAGGACTTAGACTTCTACCCTTGTTCTGGTTCCTTAGTGTCACAGTGAACCCATGGTCTGTCTCCCCTTGTAATATAAGGCATTGTACAAGACACACGGAGGAGGTAATCCATCAATGTAAGTAGGAAAATAAGTAAAACACTGTATAGCCTTTTCTGCTTGTGGCACAGGGCAGACCCGCAATACTCTGATGGAAGTAGATGAGGATTTTAATTCTCATCTTCTTCACGTGGAGCTATATGACCCAGGGCAACTTATTTACCTTCTCCAAAACTTTGATCTGGGAGAGAGGGGTAATAACTATATGTGGAGCTCTTGGAAGGAGCAGAAGTAAAGACCTAAGAGTTTGTCCTGGCATCTGGCATGACATAAGACCTCAATAAATGATGGCAGATTTAATGAATATTCACTGAATTACGGTTGGAAGAAATTTTGAGATATCTACTAAGAGGAGAATGCTTAAGTAAATTATGCCATATCTACTTGTAGCATCGTACAGGAAAGTAAAATGATGATTTAAGATTAGGCTGCAACAGGGAAAATGCTTATGATCTAAAATAGAAAAAGCAGAGCCCCAAACTGAGCATTCACTCTGATTACAACCACATGAAAAAAACAACAGGAGTATTAAAAACCTAGGAAGGAAATATAGCTGTTAACTGTTGGGATGGATGTTGGTTTTTTTCTGCAATATCCTTATATTTTCTTTTTTTTTTAACCTTATATTTTCTTTATAATTAAAAACATGATCCATTTTTAGGGAAAATGGTTATACAGTAAAATAAAATTAATGAATACATTATTAAAAAAAAAAAAGCCCAAATACAGATTGTTCCAGGTGGCTGCAGGCTCCATCCACCAGGAGCAGAGCATGGTTTCTGCAGTTCAGTCCTCATCTTGCCCGCCCCAGGAGCACACTCACCCTGCGGAGGTCTTCTTCAGCTTGGCACACAGGAGGACATCTGTGAAAAGGAAGACATGCCGCAGCTTCCGAGAGCTTTCTGACATTTCCACCAGGAAGCCATCCTTCACCAGCTGTCGTGTCTGAGAAAGACGACAAAGCCCCCAGCTTATGCAGAGAGGAGTGCAGCAGAGGGCCTGGCTTGCCCTGGTGATACCACCCAGCTGAGCAGGACTGAAGGGGCAGGCTGTGTTGACTGCTGGTTAAGAGCACTGGTTTTGGAGCTGTGGGTCTGAATTGAGCCTCTGCCATTGTCTACTATGATCCCAGGCAACTTCCCTGAACAATCTGATTTATCATCCATACAATGCATGCTATACAGATGTTATTTGCCTTGTGAGGAGAGATTAATCAAGATGGTGTATGTATAACAGGCCAGTCCCTAACCTATAAGATGTTACCAATAAATAGTAGCTTGACGGGCATTGGTGGCTCACACCTATAATCCTAGGAAGCTGAGATCTGAGGATCAATCTCAGCTCTTCTTTTTTTTTTTTTGTCCGTCGTGGGGCCTGAACTCTGGGCTTGGGTGCTGTCCTTGGTCTCTTCAGCTCAAGGCAAGTGCGCTAGTGCTTGAGCCACAGTGCCACTTCCAGTTTTCTACTGGTTTATTGGAGATAAAAGTCTCATGGACTTTCCTTCCCAGGCTGGCTTTGAATTGCGATCCTCAGATCTCAGCTCCCTGAGTAGCTAGGATTACAGGCATGAGTCACCGGTGCTGGGCTTCAATCTCAGCTTTGAAGCCAGCGTGGGCAGGAAAATCCATGAGACTTATCCAATAAACTACCTCCAAAAAGCCAGAATTAGAGCTGTGGTTTCAGTGGTAGAGGGCTAGCCTTGAGCAAAAGAAATTCAGGGATAGTATCCAGGCCAAGTTCAGGTTCTAGGACTGACACCAAAAAAGGAAGGAAGAGAGAGAAAGAAAGAAAAAAGCAAGCAAGCAAGCAAGCAAGCAAGCTCTCTCCTAAATGGACCCAGGTCTGGAATGAGTTGTTTTTTTCTGTCTTGGCGTGAACATCTTCACCCTCGTATCCACCCTCAATCAAATCTAAGAAGTTAATCTAGAGCTGGAGATGTGGTTCAACTGGTAGAACATCTGCCTAGCATGCAGGGAAGCCCTGGGTTCAATCTCCAGTACCAAAATTAAAAAGGAAAGATTAGCTAAACCTTGACCTACAGATCCACTCAGGCATGCTTATCCCAGCTCTCGGTGGATTCTTCGACTACCCTCAGCAGAGAAGGGACCCTGGGACTCCACCACTGGGGTAGTAGCAGTCTCTGACAGTGAGGAGCACTTCACTTGGGGAGTCTCCTCCCTGACTCCCTCAGGGCCAGCATGCTTCTCTGGAGCTGCCACTATCTGGCCCGGCCTTCCTTGTCTGCACCATAAATTGTGTGACCTACATATGCTACGTTTTGTGGGTGATAATGTGGAAAGGATACATTGAAGACAACCTGAAACTGATGGTATTTGAAGCCTTCTGGAGACTTTTCAGATATCCCTAGAGTAAACAAACTACTGGCACTTGGGGTGTCGCAAACCAGGGCTAGGAACAGCACACAGACATCTCCATACACCATTAGTCATGCTCCAGACACTGTCCCTCATTATTTCCCTTCCCAGGAGACACTGGAGGCTCATAAATGTAACAAAGGAACATAAACACAGCCAGCCTTCATTCCTAAATGCCACTTAATTACCTCTATTGGATAGAAAGCATGGTATCTGGGCCAGGCTGCTGACCCACACAGGTCACTGTTCCCCAATTTCTTCATATTGCTTTCCCTCACTGTGCTGGCCCCACCTTCCACCAAGAAGAGCCCCTAAGGGTAGTTGTTGTACCACTTCTAAGTGTTTTCAGGGGACATTTCCAAGCCTGGGTGGTCTCTGCCATTCCTGGTATGGTGTCTGTGCAGTGTTCTGCAGGGTCCTGGGCTTACCTCCCCCTTGGGGGTTGTGACTGCAGTCCGACGGGGGTCAATATCCTCATTGATGCTGGACAGGAAGTTCTGGGAGATGCGGAGGGCATCTTGCAGCAGTGGGTAGTCTGGGTGGTCCACAGGTGTGTGCTTCAGCAGGTCCTGGGAAAAGATGGGGGTGGCGCATTGTAGGGGCAAGTGGTTCTGGGTGGACATTTACTCAGTTCTCATCAGAAGAATTCTGAGTGGGGCACTCAAGAGCCCATGCTCTAATTTGATCCTGCCTGTAAAATCTAAACTAAAAATGAAGAGTCAGAACAGTTGGGGTGAAAGTAGAACTTTCCCTTTATTCTTGTTGCAATCATGATTTTTTTCCCCCTGTGGTGGGGATGGCCAGGTGAAGTCTCATCTTAACAAACAGCTGGGAGAGATGCCTTCTACCATCCTGCACCTGCTTGCAAGACATTGGAGACTATGATGAGGAAGTAGGAAGTGCCTGTCTCCTAGGAAGCATTTGGCCAAATATCAAGCTTAGTAGCCAAGCTATATTTAGGCCCTGGCCAGGTTGCCATGGTTACTGCAGGCCAGACAGGTGCAGTTAGGGCCCAAGGACCCTCTCTCTGCCCAACTCCCTAAATGAAGTCTCAGTGACTCCTACGCCCTTCCACCAAACTCCTAACCCTTTCTTGGCTGTTCAGGGGGCTTGACACTCACATGTAGGACCAGCGTGCTCCGAGTGACTCGGTCAATCGGCTTGTAGAGTAGAGCTGTTGGGAGGGCAGGGAGAGGAGATAGGATGAGGAAGTATAGGAATCACTGAAGACCTTGGCGACCAGCTTCATCTCCCACCCACTTCACTTCCCCATGTGAATACCACTTGCAGGAAGCCAAAGTAGATTCTGTGGCAACCTGTACTTGACTCTTACTCCTAGGCAGGCCAAGCAACAGAAAGACAGATGCACAGTAGCAACAGCCACCTATCTCAACTCCCATCTTATATAACTTCTTTGAGGGCCATCTCTCCTGCCCATCCTGGCCTTGGCCTGGGAACATGTACATATGCCCCAATCACACCAATCCATGCCTCATAGTGGTCCAACTTGCTCTGGGTGGGGCACTCCCAGGGCTCTAGGATAGAAGAGGGTGACATGGGGATTTTTCCAGGAGTGGCATCTTTTGGTACCCATAATTCTCATGCTCCTCCAGTCCAAGGTGGGGCCATCTGGGAACACTGACTACAATCTGATCCATATACCTGGTCCCATCGCATGAACTAAGACCTTTCTTTTTTCTTTTTTTTTTTTTTTGTCAGTTGTGGGGCTTGAACTCAGGGTCTGGGTGCTGTTTCTCAGCTCTTTTGCTCAAGGCTAGCACTCTACCACTTTGAGCCATAGCTCCACATCTGTGGTTTTTGTTTTGTTTTGTTTTGAGTGGTTAATTGGAGATAAGAGTTTCATGGGGAACTTTTCTGCCTGGGCTGACTTCAAACCACTATCCTCAGATCTCAGCCTCCTGAGGAATTAGGATTACAGGTGTGAGCCACTGGCACCCAGTTGAACAAAGACTTCTATGTGAACTTGAGCCTCAAACAGAATAGCAAAGGCAGAGGCAGGCCAGATCTCTATGAAAACTCTCAAGCTGGTAGCAGTCTGTGGAACAAAGATTTCCTAAAGGAATTCAGGTGGGGCCAGGCTGAGGGGAGCCGCAGCAGGCTGGGATAATGCAAGCTCAGCTTAGTCCCGCTGTGCCATGCCCCTCTGTGACCCAGACACCAAATGAGGATTGCCAGGATTCAGCAAGAACAGGTGGAGGTGGCAGCTGGCAGCCTAATACTTCCAAATATCTTTCCAGCAGACAGCTGTGCCTTGCCCCTCCCAACATGGTGCTTTAGCATTGGTCCTGCACCTGGATGCACCAGTCCATGGAGTCATAAGCTTTGGCTTCCTGCCACAGCAGCAACATGAGACAGGATGCTGGTCTGGGAAGGATGACCCTAACTGGGTGCTCAGTGATATGACATTGTAATAGATTCCCAAGATGACATTCATGCTCCAGCCAGACCCTAACCAGAGTCCCCTGAAGCCATAGATATAAATACCTTGGGAATTGCTAGGCAGACACTTCAGGGAACAATCTGCCAGCTAAGAAGAAGATGCGGTCTCAGCGGTGTGCCAAGAGCCTTATCTGCAGTCTTTGCTTGGCTGCCCATTAGAACCACTGGGGGAGCTCTTAAAAGTAACAGATGCCTGTCCTCACCCCATCCACTAAACCCAAATCTCCGCAGGGCAAAACAGGGCAGCAGCATTTTTAAAAAGCTGCTTTGCTGATACCGATGTGTAATAATGGCTGATAACGGCTGCTTTAGGCAAACACACTTCCTATGACTTATCTATAGCCATTTCTTATCTAGCAATTTCTAGAGACCCTGCTTATGGGCTATGGGAGCTAAAACAGGCAGAACCAACTTTGTGGAATCCTGGGACAGTGAGGATAAAACTCAGGGGATAGGCCCACCCACCTGTGGACCAGCCCATCCTTGGGGAGAATTATACCGAGAACCCCAGAGACCCACAAGGAAGTACAAGGTCAGCAGACAGGTGCCAGGGTGGGCCCAGAGTCCCAGCCCCCTAGAAAGCTGACACTGCGGTGTCAGCTCTCCCAGCCCTCCCTCTCCCAGGTTCCAGAAGGAAGAAGTTGCTAACTAAGCTCAGAAGCCAGCACAAATGGTGGATCAAATTTCAGAAGGGGTTATTAATATGTCTGCCGTCACCTTAATAGTCCATATGACAAGGGGCTGTGGAATGAGTCTTGTGGATTGGGATAGGGGACAAGGGGAAGGTGGCTAGGACAAAAAGTAGGGAGAGTGAAGGACAGAGAAAAGCCTTGGATCACCATCAGGTATGGAAGAAACCAGGAGAGGAAGGGCATCCCATTATCTGTGCTCCCCTCAGCCCTGTACATTTACCCTTGCCCCAGGAGCTCTTGGCTTTTACCTATTCTTAGCTCTGACAATCTTCTTCTTGTCCCTAGGCAACTCACTTTCCCCAATCCTCACCATTCTATTCTGTCTGGCCATCCAACAAGTGGCTATGCTTATCTCTCCCTAATTCCAGGAAGGCTTCCCTGACCAGGGCCTTTGCAAACAACACCTGCGGAGTCCAAAAATCAGACCACCAACCATACCATAGCAAGCCAGTCTCCCTGAACAAGCTTGTCTCTCCAGTTTGTATGGTAGTCACTCTGTGTCTAACAGCATTGAGTTAACTGCCTTATGTACATTATTTCCTATGACTAAAAGGGCAATAATGTTCACAAGACCCACTTTACAGTTGAGGAAACAGAGGCACAGACACCTGAAATTTACTCACAATCACAAAGCTGGACATGGTGGCTGGGTTTAGAATGTCAGTTTACCCATGCTCCTAACACTGAGCCATCTTTTTCCTTGGGAGAAGAAACTCCATGAACCACAGAAAGGATCTCAGAAAGGGACTCCAGGATGGGTAAGTTGGCCTTTCCCACTACCAGGGAAAGCCCTTTCCTTAGCAGGTTCCTTCATTCTTTATTCTCTGCACTGAAACTGACTTCAAAGACAATATCATAGGAATCAAAGAAACCCTGAGCTCCAGGTTCAGAGACTACTTCACTAAGACTAAGCTTCCTTTTGGGGAGGGAAGAGGAAACAAAGGGCTGACCATTCCCCCAAAATACTTTTTTTTTTTTTTTAAAGCGGAGCTGAGACTTGACCAACTCCTAGTCAGACAAAAAAACAGCATTTTCCCTATGCTCACTGAACAGTCCAATTTCAAGTCCAGCTTTCTTTCTGACTCCAGTCTGTTGGAATCAGCTGAGAAGCAGGGACCACAAGGGCACTTCTGTCTTGCAAAGAGCTGCCTTCTAGGCTGCTTCCACCACAAGTGGTCTTTGACCCAGGGCAACCAGAAAGGCAAAGGGGACAATGGTCTGACACAGCCCCCCAGACACAATGGCCTGAAAAAGGGCCCCAAGAAAGCTCATTCATCTCTCTTCTAGAAAACTGCCACCACCCTCAATTCATCCTGTAACAAGGAGTGCCAGGTTACCACGGAAATAAGCAAGCACAGTGAGGGCGAAGGGTATAAACAAAATGCCTGGGAGGAGGGAAGTGGAAGGTCCTCAAGTCAGCCACCTGCTGCTCCGACCTACAAGAGCCCCCAGTAGCTGGCCTGGAGGCAACATGTGCCCTCCGTGCCTGCCAACGGCAGCCCAGGTCATCCTTGATGGCACTTCTTGCCTTGGACAGCAGTGCCCACTGGCTTCTGCGTAGGTCAGCTTAAACATCAGCCAGGCTGATGGCCCATGCCTATCTCCAGAACCCTTGGCCCCCTCTGAGAAAGCTACACGGACGATACTCTGGGTCTTTCCCGCTGAAGGGTGTGTGTGTGTGTGCATGTGTGTGTGTGTGCGCACGCGGGCATGTGTGTGTGTGTGTGTGTGTGTCCTTCACAAAGCAGCAGCCTGCCACACCCCCCTCTTTCAAGCCAGCCCTCCATGCTAAGTGTGGAAACCTGGTCCCAAGGGTCGCTAGAGGCTAGAAGCAAACCTCTAGGGAACAAGCCAGTTCCTTTTGCCCTCCTGGCATAGTCCTGAGAGGAGGCAGCATGTGCAGTGAGCACACAATACCCGGGCTGTTCAACCTCCTTTCTCCCAAACAAAGAAACTCCCAAGTTCTCTCTCTAGCCTTGGCTGGCATGCTCTCTGCCTGACCCCTGCTGCCCTCCTCCTTGCCATTAGGGCTACTCTGCTTGTAGGCACAGCCTGTCACTTTCTCTCTTTCACCTCTCCAGGAAGTTGCTCAAAATCCTGTCATGCACACGTTAAGCCACCAGTTTCCCCACAGATATGTGTGTGTGTGTGTGTGTGTGTGTGTGTGTGTGATAAAGACAGAGGGGGGGGAACACCTCTAGCCCTGCTGTTCCCTTTCTAAGTCACCCTATCCTAAGTGCCCCCACACTTCAATTACAGTTGACCCCCCGGCTCCAAGAGGAATGCATGCAGGTCCAGCCACTTGCCCAGCCTCCCTTCCCTGCTGCACCTCCCCACCCAAATCCTGCTGGCTATATTAAAGACGGCTCCAGCCAACCCCCAGGTGGCTTTAAGACACACCGCCTCCCATGGAGGGGCGCTTGGGTTACCATAGGTGCAGTTACAGCAGAAGCGAATGATGAAGAGGATTTCCATGGCAGCCTCTGTGCCTGCAGCTGGGGCGTGCAGCCATCGCTCCAAGCTCCCGGCTCCTGGCTCCCCTCAGTAGCCTGGCCACTCAGCCACCTTGCCGCTGCTGCACAGCCGCTGCTGCACAGAATCCAGCAGCCGCTTCCTTCCTTGCAAGTGCTCCTCCAGCAAGGGGGAGGGCAGGAGGCGCGTGGAAAAGTGGGAGGAGGGAGGGAAGGAGGAGGGATGGAGCGCCTGCTGGCATCCTAAGGAGGAGCACGTTTGTAGCTGGCCCGCTGCCTAGAGAGGAGAGGCTGGATTCCTCATGTGCATGAGCACACTGATGCGCGCTTGCGCGTGCACACACACGCAAACAGGGAGGGCAATGCGTTCACACAATCTGTAGCTCACAAAACCAGACAAAGGAAGGTGACTGTAAACCAGCCCGCTCCCCCCAAGTACCTTCCATGGTGACTGATGTGTGGCTGTCCTTGGAGTCCTTGGGCCCTTTCACTTTGAGTTCCTGCCAGAGGGAGGAGAGGAATCACTACCTGGAGTGTGCCCCTCCCCCCCACCCCTCCCTCAATGGTGAGCACGGCAGAAGAAGGGGTCTGAAAGCCAGGAGTGCAAATACAAGGAGACAAAGGAGACCTGTGGGCACAGGCCACCTCTGCTTTATCATCTGGATCCCTGGAGACTCCAGAGTCCAGTTGTGAGAGTGGGGGCCACAGGAGGACGCTGGGTACCAGAGTTACGACTGGTGGTAGAAGCACGGTGATAAAAGGAACTTCTTACACCCGCCTGCTGATGCCCCTCACAAATAACTAAGGGCCTCCCTAAACATGGCCAATAGCAGGACCCCACTACATGTGTCCTCAGCAGCCACTTCTCAGGAATGTATACACCTAAGCCAGGGAAGTCAGGGTTTGCACCTACAGGCACCAGGTGTGGGAGCAGTAGCAGCCCTGAGCCAGTGGAGGGCTGCACACCTGCACAGAGAAGCAAGGAGGAGGCAGACCTGGGGCAGGGATGCTGAGCTCCACAGGTCAGTCCAAACCACATGTCTTTATTCAGGAGGGACTCAGCCTGCTTCCAGCCCACCTGACACTCTTCACCACCCCTTCTGAAGCTATGCTAAGTACCCTGAAGTGAGTGCTGGAAACAGTCTCCAGGGACAGTGTAACCTATTTTCTTTAGAAGAAGATGTCCAGCTTTTGGTAACAGGAAAGTGCAGCCAACAATTAGAGCTGAAATGCAATCCTTCTTGGCAGGCTGAGTATACAGAGCCTGAAAGAAAAGTGTCCAGGAAAGGCAGGGGGCAAGGTGAGGCCAAGGTCAGACACCCAGGTGATATCTGCTCTGCCTAGGGGATGGAAATGCCCAGACAGCAGGAAAGACCTCATTTCCTACTCTGTCTCCAGCTGTTTCTAGACAGAGTAAACCTCCAGAGACAGAGCTTGTGTGTGAGACAGTGTGTGTGTGTGTGTGTGTGTGTGTGTGTGTGTGTGTATGGTGATGTAGGTGTGTGTATGGGGGTGTGTGTGGAACTCAGCTTCTCTAGGCTATGTCTCTCACTGAATTCCTACCTTTAGGGAATTTTGCTCCACGCCCCCTCCAGTGCAGCCTAGAGGTATGAAATCACTCCTGCTGTAGAGGAAAAGGGCCTAATTGCAGTAATTAAATGGCAGCGCCAGCAGGAAGCAACGGCAGCACGAATGGCATCATCGTCATAGAGTGAGTCAGGATGAACAGCCACCTGGCAGAGGGCCACAGCCTGGCTCTGCACTCTGGGGTGGGTAGACTCTAAGGGGCTCCTGCCACTGCATACAGAATGGCCAATCAATGAAGACTATGTAGGGATCTTATACTCTGGACACTCCCTAGGCTATGTTGATTCCAGGCACTTGAACAGAGCCCTATGAACAGATTAGGGAATTCCAGTTTGTTCCTAGGGCAAGCTGGGAACCATGAGGGGAAGCATCATTTCTCCAGTCTCATGAATCCATAGAGAGGGACTTCCCTAGCCCTTTCCCCATCCTCTCAGGCAGGGGATGATTCATCTGATCCATGGGTTGAGGGGAGGAAACTGAACTCAGACCTGTTCTCTGTATCCTTAGTTACAAAGGCAGGCTCTGCCACCATGGTTAGGAGGGACCTGTGGCTTCCTGTTTCAGCCAGGGAGTCAATAGATATATTTACTTCCAATGATGAAGTGTTAGCAAGTCCCATGTGGCTACAGACCCAAACTTACATGTTCCAATTTGGCTTTTTCTAATAATCAAGCTGACATGTTCACTTCTATCTGTCCTACTCCTATATGTTCTCTTGGTTGTTTCCAAATTCAGACAGAACCCTAGCAGGTTCAGGAAAGCTATTCTGAGATTCAGTAACTATTCTAGCATCAGAGCTAAGGAAAGAAAAGAGCCAGGGGGAACCTTTAAGGCAGGACTTCTAAAACTGTAGAAATGCTCCCTCACCACAACAAACAAACAAACAAACAAAAGCAACAACAAAAATCCCCAGAGGTTCTTTTGCCTTGGGTTTGGGCTTAGAGCTAGGTATTTCCTGTAAAGTTGATGGCTTAGGGATATTTCTGGGGCCTTTTTGGATAAATGACGAGTTGGGCTGTGCTCCTGAAGCATCCTATAGCAGCAGCCCCTCCTTGCTACTCTAGATAGAAGTGCCAATGGCAAGGGGTACAGAGGAGCACGTGGGGAGGACTTAGCTATAATAGCAGGGACAGTCTAGGGCTGCTTCTCTCCTGAAGTAGTCCTGTTGTCTGTTTGTAAGCCTGCAATTTTAGGGTTGGCATGGATCTATTTTTTTTTTCTTTTGTCGGTTATAGGGCTTGAACTCTGGACCTGGGCATTGTCCCTGAGCTCTTCAGCACAAGACAAGCGCTCTACCACTTGAGCCACAGCAATACTTCCACTTTTCTGGTAGTTAATTGGAGATAAGAGTCTCAGTGACTTTTCTGCCTGGGCTGGCTTTGAACTGTGATCCTTAGATTGTGAGTAGCTAGGATAATAGGTATGAGCCACTGGCACCTGGCTTGCCACAATTTTAAAAGATCACCTAGTCCAGACTTTCCTGAATCCTCCTTCCTAATCTTCTATAAAAATCACTTAGTACCTTGTTAGAGTAAAGATTTCTACCTCCCTGCCAGCCCCTCCCAGCCTTCAAACCTAGCCCTCTGAATGAGAAGCTGCAGGGAAGGAAGTTAGACACCCACATTTTAAACAGGGTCACACTGATTCTCATCGAGCAAGTTTGAGATGGAACTTGTCTATCTGCAGGGACAAATCCCAGCAGACCACTCTACAGGGGAGGAAACAAAGGCCAAGAGAAAAGAGATAACTTGCTCAAGGTCACCACAGCATAGGAGAACACTGCCTGTTCCTCTTTCTAACCTGAAATGGAATTTAAAAAAATCAAACTGATCAATATTTTTATATTAAGAGGAAAAATGTCAAGTGCAAGAAAGCAAATGTCAGGCCAAAAGTTACCCACAAGGGGAACAGCCTCCCTGATAGGCAAGCAAAGGAGAAGACTTATTCACAGGCTGGAAGGCTCCAAGCTACTCCCAGGGCCCCAGGGACTGAGAGGAGCGGCCTACCTCTGAGATCTTCTGGAACTGGTTGTTGGATTGGCTGCATTTCTCAGCTGTCTCCAGAGCAACTTTATAGTTATCCACAAATGCTTTGTACACACCAAGCTGGCTGGCCTGCAGGGGGGAGACAGAAAATGGAGAAAAGAGGGTAGGAATGGGATGGGGAGAGGATTAATGAATGGATGAAAGCTTATCTAGAGCTCCTGGAGCTCCCTTAGTGCTCAGAACTTCTAACTTAGCCCCAAAGGGCTTACTGGAAATGAGGGGAAAGGCAGGGATGAACATATTACAGTATCCCTTTGAACTTGACAGTTTCCATGGAAACTGGCTTAGCCAATAAGGTTAAGAGGCGGTAGTGAAGAGGTGGAGAGCAAGATAGGGCCTTTATTGGAACACTAGAAATTGAACTCATCAAAATAAAGTCTCCTAGGGTTTGAGGCCTTTTAATGCCTTATACCTGTTTCACATCTTGCTATTGGCTGGAGCAGAGGAAGACAGGAGTGGTGGGCACATGTTGCCTACTTGGTTACCTATTCCTGGTGCTAGGGCCCAGCATTTAAAGGGAATCAAGTTTCTGCCCCCATCTCCTCAGTCTCCAATGAGTCAGAACCCCATCTCACTATACACTTGCATGCCACCCAGAACTGGACACAGAGCTTTTCCTGACTTGCCACCATAAAAAGCCTTGCCTCCTCTGGGTGGCAGGGCAGATCCCAGTATTCCTTTCTGTAAATGGTAAAACTGAGGCCATTTGTTCAATCTCTCAAATATTTATGGCAAGCCTTCTCTAAGCTGTGTACACATATTTCCTCCTAAGAGAACAAAGGGTAGCAATTCAAATTAAAGCCACAATGAAAAATTATTCCATTCCTGCAGGAAGGGTTGAAATTTAAAAGTTTATTGATATCAAGATTGACAAAAATGGGGGAATGTGAAGAAATACAAACTCCTATGGAAGGCTTATAGATTTAAGTTAGTATAACTATTTGGAGAATAACTTCTCAGTAACTAGTAAAGCTGACAGTAGGCATAGTCTTAGCCTACTGTTTAACAAATATCTTCCTTCCTTCCTTCCTTCCTTCTTGCATCCCTCCTTCCTTCCTTTTCTCATAGTATTGAATTTTTTCTTGGTCCTGAGGCTGGGTAGCATCTCTGAGTTTTTTCACTCAAGGCTGGTTCTCTACCATTAGAGCTAAAGCTCCACTTCTGGCTTTTGGGTGACTAATTGAAGATAAAAATCTCACAGACTTTCTTGCCTGGGTTTGCTTTAAACTGTAACCCTCAGATGTCAGCATTCCGAGTATTTAGGGATTACAGGCATGAGCCACCAGTGCCTGGCTCTATAGTACTGGATTATGAAGTCAGGATTGTGTTTGCTAGGCAGACATGACACTCTATACCATAAGAGCCATACCTTCAGCCTACATGTGGCTATTGGACACCTACCATTAAGTAGAGTAACCTGAAGTGTGTTGTATATCTAAAATCATGTTGTAAAGTATGCAATATGGGATATAAATTATATCACTATGGATTACATATTGAAATGATACAATTCAGATCTGCTGAAATAAATAAAATATATTTTAAAAATCAATTTCCTCTGTTTATCTCTTATTTGTTTTTGTTCTTGTTCTTTCGTGACAGTCCTGGGGCCTGAACTCAGGGCTTGGGCACTCTCCCTGAGCTTTTGTGCTCAAAGCTAGAGCTCTACCATTTGAGCCCCAGCTCCCACTTCAGCTTTTTGTTTGGTGGTTAATTGGAGATAAGAGTCTCATGGACTTTCCTATGAATAGCTTTGAAGGGTGATCCCAAGATGTCAGCCTCTTGGGGAGCTAGTTTTACAGGTATGAGCCACTGGTACACAGTTGTTCATTTTGGTTTGCTTTGGGTGTCTCATTATGTTGGCCTTGAGTTAACAGACTCAAGTAATCATCCTGCTTCAGCCTTCCAAGGAGCTGGGCCTGTAAGTATCTGCCACCATGCCCAGTTTATTCTATTTTATATGATTTTATTTTTGTGGTGGAGATCAAAACCAGGGTGACAGGCATGCTAAGCAAGTACTCTTATCTCTGAGCTAAATCCAGTCCTATTTTCACTTAAAACAATGTTGCTACTGCTAGGTGCTAGTGGCTCAAAGAGATCTAAGAACTGGTGTTCAGAACTAGTCCAGGAGGACAAATTTGAAAGACTGTTATCTCCAAACTGAAAGCAGAGGCATGACTCAAGTGGTAGAGCATGAGCTGTGAGTGAAAAGTTGAGAGAAAAAGTGCAAGGCCCTTGGGGCTGGGAATGTGGCTGAGAGGTAGAGTGTTTGCCTAGCATGCATGAAACCCTGGGTTCAATTCCTTAGTACCACATAAACAGAAAAAGCCAGAAGTGGCACTATGGCTCAAGTGGTAGAATACTAGCCTTGAGCAAAAAGAAGCTTAGAGACAGTGCCCAGGCCAAGGGGGAAAAAAAAGTACAAAGTCCTGAGTTCAAGCCCAAGTATCAGAAAAAAAAGAAGAAAGTGGCTACAAATACTCTCTCTCTCTCTCTCCCCATATATATATATATAGCTAGGAAACTTGAAGAAGTAGGTAAAAATGGGATAGATGAAATCCAGAGGGAGAATGATAGAAGGGATAATACTGATCAAGATGAACTGTACAGGGCTGAGAATGTGGCTTAGTGGTAGAGTGCTTGCCTAGCATGCATGACACCCTGGGTTCAATTCCTCAGTACCATATAAACAGAAAAAGCCAGAAGTGGTACTGTGGCCCAAGTGGTAGAGCACTAGCCTTCAACACAGAGAGGCTTAGGGTCAGTGCCCAGTCCATGAGTATAAGCCACAGGACTGAAAAAAAAAAAAAAGATGCACTGTACATATAAAGGGTCACTATTTAAAAACACTTTGTACAGAAGATAATAATTTAGGGCTGGGAAGGTGGCTCAGTGGTAGAGTGCTTGCCTTGCAGGCATGAGGCCCTAGGTTCGATTCCTCAGCACCACATAAGCAGAAAAAAAAAAAAGCCAGAAGTGGCTGTGGCTCAAGTGGTAGAGCGTTAGCCTTGAGCTGAAGAGCTGAGGGACAGCGCCCAGGCCCAGAGTTCAGGCCCCACGACCAGACCCAAAAAACAAAAAAACCAAAAAAAAGATAATAATTTAAAAATGTGTTGTTGAATGGCAACAATACATTTGTACAACTATTTAAAGATAATAAAAATAAAAATATATTTAAATGTGACTCATAAGGTTAAGGTATAGCTCAATGGTAAGAGTGCTAGCCTAGTACCACCAAAAAACAAAACAAAACAAAACAGTGATTAGTAGATCATTGAAAAATACCCAGGTATCAGTAGCTCAACCTGTAATACTAGCAACTCAGGAGGCTGAAATCTGAAGATTATGGTTCAAATCCAGCCTTGGTAGGAGGAATGCTTATCTCCAATTAACAACTAAAAACGGGGAAGTAGAGCTGTGACTCAAGTGGTAAAGCACTGGCCCTGATCAAAAAACAGAACTCAGGCCCTGAATTCAAGCCTCAGAACTCTCCCTCTCTGTCTCTCTGTCTCTCTGTCTCTCTGTCTCTCTCTCTCTCTCACACACACACACACACACACACACGTGTATATATGTAGGTCACAACTTCTATCAGAATGTGCTGCTCTTAAAAACCTTCATATAAACCAGGTGCCAGTGGCTCACGCCTATAATCCTAGCTACTCAGGAGGCTGAGATCTGAGGATTGCCATTCAAAGCCAACTTGGGCAGGAATGTCCATGAGACTCTTATCTCCAATTAACCACCAGTAAACCTGAAGTGGCACTGTGGCTCGAGTCCTTGCCTTGAGCTGAAGAACTGAGGGACAGTGCTCAGGACCAGAGTTCAAGCCTCATGACAAAAAAAAAAAAAAAGCAAAAACAAAAACAAAAAAACCCATTCATATACATGTGCCCAAGGAGATATTTATGGCTTCCCTCTTCTTAGTGGGAAAGCTGAAAATAAATGCTCACAATACAGGAATCTAGACACTCAAAGAAGCTAAGATGAATGAACTAATCCAGGCATGGTTGCATATGTCTGTAATTCCAGTTCGCAGGAGGCTGAGGCAGGAGAATTATGAGTTGCAGGCCAGCCAGCCTAGGATACATAGGAAGACCTTGTCTCAAACAAACCACCACTAGATTTATATGTCGTAACACCAACATGTGATAAATATATGCACATTTAAAAAGAACATAAAAAGATATAGACATTATACATATGTGTATATATACATATATACATGTGTGTGTGTATACACTGTAGTTGTACAAGGTTACACACCAAAGTCTCACCAGCAGGCTGGGAAGGTGGCTCAGTGGTAGAGCGCTTGCTTTGCAATGCATGAGGCCCTGGGTTCGATTCCCCAGCATCACATAAGCAAAAAGAAAAAAAAAAGCCGGAAGTGGTGCTGTGGCTCAAGAGGTAAAGTGCTAGCCTTGAGCTGAAGAGCTGAGGGACAGCACCCAGGCCCAGAGTTCAGGCCCCACAACAGGACCCAAAGTCTCACCAGCAGTTGCCTGAAGAGAAAATGCATAGATTACATCCATTTGTTTTGCCTGGTAGTGGAATATGTTAATAGAGCCCATGTCTGGCACACAAAAAGGCCTGAGCTTGATCTCCAGCACCGAGGGGAAAGAAGGGGATAAAAAAAAGTTGGGGAATTTATCTTCCTAGTTTAACATCTGTTAACTGTGCGTAACAATTGTCTGTTATATTTTTTTCCAATTAAGTAGCAAGGGGATTCAGCTGCTCCTAGGTTTCCTTAGGGGCTTCCACTTCCCACTAAAGTGTGGAAGAAGTAGCTACCCCTGAGCTCCACTACAGATCACTCTGCTCCCTGCAAAATCTTTGTGCTCTCGAGGGGCCATAGAGGCTGAGTGCAGTATCAACTGCGCCTCAAGCCTCCCAGAGTAGAAACTGAGACCTTCATGAAAACTAGCAGGGCTGGAGAAAGGACACTAGAGAGAAGAGAAGAACATAGATACAGGGGGAGAAGCCAAGGCTGGAGCAGTGCATGTCTGAGCCCTGAGGTTGGAGGGGGCAGGACTGGAGTCTAGGTACTTTCACAGAGGAGTAATGGTCATAGATGCCCCAAGCTGTAAGAGGTGTGCTCTACAGTTGCTTCTTAGAGCAGAGTACAAATGATTGGTTCCTCCATGCTCATGAGAAGAAAAAAGCCTGGTCCCAGGCTGGCATCAGCTAACTCTGCTAGCATTTTCCTGTGAATCAGGAACAGAAACCAGCTGTGTGCAGAGGTCAGAGGCCATCCTGAACACTGCCATCTGCACAGTCACCCAAGGCAGGAGGGCTTGAGGCCCCAGCCTGCCAGGGTCATTAACTTGGAAGCAGAGGTTGCCTGGAAACAGCAGCTCAGCACAGAAATGATCTCACAAAACAAACAGCAGAGATGCTAATTTCTTTCTGTCCATAATGAATAATCAAATATCCAGAGACTTCAGTTGAAAATAAACTTCCTCCAGATGCCTAGCATGCCCTGGATCAACCCTTGGCTCTGCCAAGCCTGCAGGCGCCAAGACTTGGACATCAGTTCATGATGCTGGGAGGGGGTGGCAAATTTGCAATCAGCTGAGACCCATACAGAGATTCCAGTGATAAAGATGAATTAAGAGACCCTGTCCACTGTCCTCTGGGCTATTTGCTCTCCTCTTAAGTATGCTCTCTTCTGCATCCCTGAGGGATGAGGACAGGCTACCCTCAAGCCAATCAGCTTGGCTCCTGGGACCGGGGAGGGTTGTCTGGGTGTTCACCATCCCTGCACTTGGGGAAGCAGCTTGGCCTGCTTCCAGGCAGGCCAAAAGTACAGTGTTCTGAGTGCCTCTTCTGAACAACCTCAACAACAGCAATAATAACTAACGGCAGTAATAATACTGCCAAACATTGAGCACTGATGAATTTCTAACCTTCCAGACGCTGTCCCAAGTACTTTCAAGTATTAACTCACTACTAACTATGATTACCCTCATTTACATGAGGCAGTTGAGTCACAGAAGGTGAGATAAGCTCTCACAGGACTGTCTATGGCAGAGCTGGGATTCAAACCCAGTTATGGCCAGCTTCAGAAGCCATGCTTGTCCCCACAACACTGTTGGTCTTAAAAAAGACAAACAAAAAAATTCCCAGAGCTCTCAAAACACAAGGTGTCTTCCTTGTCACCTGCATTCTCCTCAGATATAATGGTCAAGGTTATGGTTTATTCATTCATTCATGAATCGACAACTGGGCTGCTTTTGAGGGGTCTAAGTGAAAAATAGTCTGTCCTCCTGAAGCTTAGCTTATGGTTTTGGGGAGACAGGTGCTTGTAAGTAATTCATGAAGAATGAGCACAGGTGATAGGGAAGGGTTCTCTGAGGAGGTCATTTCTTTTTTCTGTTTGCTGCTCCTGGGGCTTGAACTCAGGGCATGGGCCCTGAACTTTTTTGCTCAAGGCTTGTGCTCTACTACTCGAACCAAAAACTTTTTGGTGGTTAATCAGCAGTAAAGAGCAATACAGACTTTCCTGCCCGGGCTGGCTTTGAACCGTGATCCTCAGATCTCTGCCTCCTGATTAGCTAGGATTATAGGTATGAATCACCAGCACCCAGCTTTAGGAGACCATTTCTTTTTTCTTTTCTTTCTTTCTTTTTTTGGTCAGTTGTGGAGCTTGAGCTCAGGGCCTAGGCACTGTCCCTGAGCTTTTTCACTAAATGCTACCGCTTTACCACTTTGAGCCAAAGTGCTACTTCTGGTTTTCTGGTGATTAACTAAAGAGTCTCACAGATGGGCTGGGAAGGTGGCTCAGTGGTAGAGTGCTTGCCTTGCATGCATGAGGCCCTGGTTTGATTCCTCAGCACCACATAAGCAGAAAAAGCCAGTAGTGGAGCTGTGGCTCAAGTGGTGAGCTCTAGCCTTGAGCTGAAGAGCTGAGGGACAGCGCCCAGGCCCAGAGTTCAGGCCCCACAACTGACCAAAAAAAAAAAAAAAAAGAGTCTCACAGACTTTCCTGCCCTGGCTGGCTTTCAACTATGATCCTCAGATCTCAGCATCCTGAGTAGCTAGGATTACAGATTTGAGCCACCAGCACCCAGCTATGAGGAGGCCATTTCTAAGTTGGGAACTGATCAAAGGGAGCCAGGTAGATGGGGAAGGCTATATTAGGCAGATGGAGCTACAATATGAATTTGTCAGAAAGTTCCTACAGTGTGAACTAAGAACAGAAAGTCCTGTGTAAGGAGGCACAGAGTAGGGGAAGGAGAAGCCAGAGGACTATATATAGTTTTGTGGTCATTTCTGGAAGCCTGGCCTTTTGCCAGTGGAAAGGAGAGCCCTGGCCAGAGAGAAGCAAGGTCTGGGCAGGATTTGGCTGATAGTCTCCTGCTGCCAGCTGAGGGGTATGGTGGGAAAGGAGCAAGCCTGTGTGAAAGACCTACTCATGAGGCCACAGCAAGCGTCCAGGAGGTTAATAAGGGGTAAAAAGGAAGGATGACAGAGGAAACATAGAAAAGTATGTAGCCGTGAGGGACATCAAATAGGGATACCTTATGGGAAGTGGGGATGAGGGACAAGAGAGAGGAGGGGGAGGGCATTGTGGGAAAGGAGAGGCACCTAGGATGAGACCCAGGCACCCACTGAAATAAGGACAAGAGGAAGAGCAGGAACTTTAGGCAGTGAGTCTGGTTTTAAACATGCTGAGCGTGAGGGCCTATGAGTTTCCAAGCAAGCATCTTCTGCAGGGTGAGCTACACAGAGCCCTGTCCCTTCACTTCAACTAATCTCAAGACAAAGAAGAAACTTGGGGATGCTGCTCCCTTCTGCCCAGCTATTCACACTCCAGGAACAGGAGGAGAACAGCAATGAACTCCTAGGCTTCTCCTGGCAGGCTGTCAGGAGTTAGGGTGGGATGCTATGTGGGTATGATCTAAGAGTCCTCCAGGAAACATAGAGGCAGAGCTAGGAGAGAGGGAATGATGGAAACCCTGGAGAAGAGCATCTCCCAACACGCAGCTGGTACCCTTTCCTTTCCCTACTGTGGCAGGTAAGGCTGATTCTCCATTCTTTTTGCTCTGGGGACCTCAGGAGACAACCATTAGTAGATGCAGTCTTCACCCAATTGTTCCGTTTTAGAGGCAGTACTAGGATGTAGTGAATCCCCCTGGTCTCAGGTGAGAATGCCACTCAAGTGAGGTCTGTATTACAGTATTGGCTCAAGGGGCTCCCATAGAGGGAGAGATAGAATGATCCCAGAAGCATTGATACATGTGGCCCATCCATGTATTTCTGCAAACAGTCCCAAAGATCCACCACAGCAGGCTTGGAGTTGAGGTCCTGGACCCAAGTGTCCCCATAAAGTCTAAGTCCTGATTAGCCACCAAGATTTCTGAGAGATGGCTCAGGCCTTTAAGAGTGCCCAGTGGGCCGGACACTGGTGGCTCACGCCTGTAATCCTAGCTACTCAGGAGGCTGAGATCAGAGGATCACGGTTCAAAGCCAGCCTGGGCAGGACAGACCATGAGACTCCTATCTCCAATAAAACCACCAGAAAGCCGGAAGTGGCGCTGTAGCTCAAGTGGTAGAGCGCTCGCCTTGAGCTGAAGAGCTGAGGGACAGCGCCCAGGCCCAGAGTTCAAGCCCCACGGCCGACCAAAAAAAAAAAAAAAAAAAAGAGTGCCCAGTGGGTTGGGGCTCACAAGTCCTTTCCCAAGGCCCTCTTAAGAACCACTGCCTTCTGGGAGACTCACCAGCTTCTGGAAGAGGTGGCCCATGGTGACCTGGCTGTCCCACTGCTGCACCTTGGGGCAGAGGTTGTCGTAGAACTCCTTGTGGATCTCATAGATGTCCTGGATCTTGTAGAAGATGGTCTCAATCTGCTGGATTGTGAGTACGGGCTGGGAGGTGGTGGCTGTGGCCTTCAGGGGTTTCATGGGCTAGGAGAAGAGGAAGAGGAAGGAAGAGCAGAGCTGAGAATGAATAAAACAGAGTGCTGGCAGGCCCCAAGCAGATTGTGACACTGATTAAAACTTTGTGATGTCCAAGTCATGCCTAGACAAGGCCACCAAAGGCAGGGCACTGGCAGCTGCTCTCACAGGCCCTGACACGCCATGTGCAAGGAGAAGGAACCTGGCAGCAGGACCCTGGCCCAGGAGTCAGAGACATTCCCCAACCCAATCAGAGGTGGCATCCAGCCCATGCCTATGAGGGCTCAATAAGAGGTTTAACAGGACCCTTCTTTTCCACATTGGCCTCATGGCCTGAGTCCTGAAGCTTCCTCATCACACTTCAATGGAAAGGAGGATGGACTGGGAACTGAGCTGTTTAGTTTCTTCCTTTCAGGAAACAAGGTGATTCTCTGACTTGAGGCCAGCTCAGACGCCCTGATATTTCAGGTTCTCACTTAGAGAAAGGCGCAGGTACCTGTATGACAAATTCCTATTTTCCATCCCCATGGCCAACATTGTTGAACAACCATGATGAACCAGCGAGTGTGGTTGTGGTCTTAGGCCCTTTCTCAATTGACATGAAAATGAAACTTATCAGTCATCCCTGCTTGTCTACACCATGTACACGAGGGTCTTCAAGTGGCAATGAGGCAGTGACAGATGGTAACACAGGACCATCTGTCTATGATAACATAGGCCTAGCCCTAGACTGGTGCAGATGGTAACACAGAATCATCCCCACACTGCTTGGGCTAATGAGGCTCAGGTGGTAAGTCTCTGTATTTTCTAAATCACCTACTGATCTACAGGTGGTGTTATACACCTGTATTCCCAAATACTCAAGAGTCTAAGGTAGGAGAATCACTTGGGCCCACAAGTTCAAAACCATTCTAAATAAATAATCAAGACTCCTATAAGGAGCTAGAGGCATGGCTCAGTTAGTAGAGCAACAGCCAATGAGCAAAAGCATCGGATGAGATCAAGTTTCAGTCTTGGGCAAAAAAAAAACAAGACTCCCATGAATAAATAAAAATAAATATAAAAGATAAATCCTCCACAAGGAGTAAATATTAATTTTGCAATCAGAAAACCTCCCAAGATGTCCAAACTATGCTCCAAAGGCCATATAGGCACAGGGTCTGAAAACCTGCCACATGGAGAAGACTGGAGAGGAATGGGCCTGTTTCTGGAAGAGAGGCCTGGGTTGAGTAGGCTGATATTCTTCTAAAGGCTGAATGGAAAGAGTTCTTCAGCTTAAGACAAGGTTACCTGTAGACCTAGCAGCAGTGGGGAGAAGTTAAGGGTCAGATTTGGGCTCTCTAGAGCTGTCCCCCACTATCTCCAGGATGAGGTAGTGAGCTGTAGACAGGAGAAGCATGCTAGCAGACCACAAGCAACTCATCTGATGAAAGGGCTGGACTGGAGGGAACAACTACATGAGCAAAACCAAAGCTATCCTTAGTTCCCATAAATTTTGACCACCAGCTTGAGCTGGCCACAGCAGCTAGACTTGCTGTCCAGCTTCCTCTGTCCTCCTTCCGATGGGGCTGAGCCCAAGTTTGTCCATAAGAGAAAGTCTCCCCTGTGTAAATACCCAGCCAATGCTTAACTTCTGGCCTCCTTGCCCTCCAAGCTCTACCAAGTCCAGAGAAAAGCAGGCCCTCTCCTGCTGACTCACTCCATGCTAGAAGGAAGTGACCCTCAGTGTGTAGTCCTTGCTGGGCAAAGGGTGTGGGTTTGAACTCTGATTCTGCTACTTAAAACTTTTAAGCAGATCACCTACCACTTCTAGGCTTAGCTTTGTCAGCTGATGTTAAGATCTAAAGCCTTACTTTATATAAAGTATCTAGAATGTGCCAGGCACACAGAAAAGTAACCAATATTACTATGAAAATAATGTACCAAGGCAACTAGCATGAGGCAAGACTTGGAGTACTCAGTGGTGGACAACTTCCCATCTAGCAGGGGAGACAGACCAGACAAGTAGACTATCAACTATCTAATGGCATATAACAGTAAGTGCAATGAAGGAAACTAGGAGAAGACCTCCTGAGACAGGGCGGTGAAGGACAGCTTCTCCAAGGAGATGAATGTGTAAGGGGGTGAGTGATGGGGGGAATGGCACTCCAGGATCATGCTAGGTCTGGAGGCAGGAATGGGCTTGGTGAGAGAGAGGGGTTGAAAAGGTGTGTGTTCTATAGGTAAGAATTGGGCATAGCCTAAGACAGGGCAGGGTAGATCCTAGGTTTATGTCTGTGGGGGGAGGTGGTCCATGCAGTGGAAGGAGAACAAGTTTTTGTTTGTTTTTTAAAGTGATAATGGGGTTTGAACTTAGGGCCTTGCATTTGCTAGGCAGACAGGTTACCAGCCGGCCTTTTTTTGTGTTTTTAATTATTTTTCTTGGTTTAGTTGTTTAGGGTTTTGCCTAGTGCCAACCTGGACCAGCATCAGCTCCTTCTTAGTTTTCATAATTGGTATTTCAGATAAAAACCATCATGCTGGACTTATTGGTTGAGATGGCTTTTTGTCTAGGCTAGACTCAAACCATGATTATTCACAGTTATACCTCCTGATTAGCTGGTATTATAAGTGTTTACCACTGCAGCTACACCCCACCCCCCTCCCCTTTCTGGTGGTATTAGGGTTTGAATTCAGGGTTTTGTGCTTGCTGGGCAAGCAATCTACCACTTGAACTACATCCCCAGTCCTTTTGCTTTTAGTTTGTTTTTCAGATGCGGTATCTTGCTTTTACAGGTCTGGCCTCAGACCTCAACTCTCTTGCTTCTGTCTCTCAAGTAGCTGTGATTACAGGCACATGCTGCCATACTCAGCCTAGGAAGAAGTACAACTTTGACTCTGCAACTGACCCAGCTTTCTGTGTGAGCCAATATTTGGGAGACTATTTTTGTGACCTGTATCCCTGAATTTGAGAACTGTATAAACTATTTGAATAAAATGAACCAACAGTGAACAATGTGTGACAGCCTATTCTTGTCCAACTTAGACTAGAAATATCAACCAAATGGTTCTAAGGTTGCACAGTATGCTTCTTGGAGGAGAGAGAGAGAGAGAAGGATCTCACCTGGGGAGATCTGGGAAAGTGTGGGGGTGGGGGTGGGGAAGGAGAGGAAGCTGGTAATATATTATATGCAGAAACTAGAAGTCAGTACACTGTTTTCCCAAGCCTAGGTAGAAGGATAGAGAGCCTCCCAGAGGTCCCCCACCCCCAGAGCCCAGGTTTGATGTCATTGTTACCATTTTCTATGTAGGACCCAATGGAAGGATTAAGTAGCCACAAAGTCCCAGAGCCACCCATGTTTGCCCTGCCTTGGTGCAATCTTCACTGTGAGGGAATAAAGGAGATGGAGTTGGGGAACAGTCCTGGGGAGACAAAGGGAATAGGATTTCTCAGAAGCAGCTGTAGAAGCAGCACTCATCTGCCGCCTACACAGGCAGTCTCAATACACTCAATGCACTCAACGCTCTGCTTCCTCCTGAACTTCCCACTCTGTCTACAAAAGGGGAAGAAGAGGATGATGGGCAGGAGCCAGTCACATGGACAAGTCTGTACTGGGGACAGGAGACATTCCACATAAGACTGAGGACCTTTGCTCTTACCCCTGAGTGTATGTGGGGGAGAAGGAAGGGGTGGCTGGTTCTTAAGGCAGCTATTTTTTCAGGCCCTGTTGTGTGTGAAGGGCACCACTAGGAAAGGTGAGGACCACTAGGAGTGGGGCAGGCACTAGCAAGAGAAGGGAGGAGTAACGAAGAGGGTGCATGAGGATGAATATAGTCTAAGCAGTTTGCCTGCATGCATGAAAACAGAGCCATGAAACCTGTTGATTTTTTATTTTAATTTTTTGGTGCCAGTTCTGAGGATTGAAATCAGGGCCTCGTTGCTCTCACTTGGTTTTTTTTTTTTTTTTTTCTGTACTACTTTAGCCACACCTCCACTTCGGGCCTTTTGCAGATTAACTGGAGAGAAAAGTCTTATGGACTTTCCTACCTGGGTTGGCTTCAAACTGTGATCCTCAGATCTCAGCCTCCTGCATAGTTAGGATTACAGTGTGAGGCACCAGCACCTGGCTGAAATTGTTTTCAGAAGGGGGACTGGGATAGGGAAGAATGATGTGGGGATGGAGGGGAGAGGGGGTGAGATTGATCAGGATACATTGTATACATGTATAGAAATGTCACAATGACATCTTGTACAACTAATGTATGCTAATTCTTAAAAAGCAGCTATTTTTATCTGGCGAAGACTCACATATGGGCCTTTGGTTTTTTGAGGCAAGGTCTTACTATGTACCTGACCTTTTGACCCCTGTACTACTAGCCAATGAGCTAGCCTTCCAGTCACCTCCCTCCTACCATGTCCAGCTGCACAGTTCACTGTCTAATCCAAGGAGAATAGTGAAAAAGAAGTCTTGGAGGACTTGGCTTCCAAGCCTGAGATCTTTTCAGGAAGACCCTGGCTGGGTAAGCTCTGACCTCACAGGTCAGGTCTACTGTGTCCCCCAGCAAGCGGTCTTTCGAAATAATGGAAAGAAATCTGCCCACTTCCTCTACCTCCTACCTCAGAAGGCTGGGTGCCTGTAAGGCACTTTGCTCATCTGTCACCTTGGTCATAACTCACAGGAGCCCAGGAAGGAGGTGTCATTAACCTATTTTGCAGATAAGAAGTTGAGATGCCCACAGACAATAAACTTTAATGTCAAAGTTGAGAATGAGAGTCTGAGCAGGCGCCTAGGCAGAGGTGGGATGTGCTGTGGCTAACAGCCTCACACTCTGTGGTCCCAGCACAGGCAACAATACAGAGCCCAAGCCACTGCTCAAGGTCTGGGAGATGTAGAATTACAAAGTAGCTGCTTTTCTCTTCTTTCCTTTGCCCTCTACCTCAGCCCAGGCACCCAGATCTCACTTGTAAGGAGCCCACAAGGACCCAAGAAGGTTCCAGAAGATTATTCCCAATGTGAGCCCCAGCTAGGGACCTCTGAACAGAGCCTCCTGTGCTGCCTTAAGTATGCTTGTGCTTACACAGTCTTATTAGGTACACATGCCCAGCCCTTTGCATACCAGGAAGTGGTAAGGGGAAAACAGTCATGCAGTCCCACTTGGCACTGCAAAGTCATTCTTTGAGTATAAAGGGAGCTATGGGAATGGAGTAGTATGGAGTGAGGGCTCAGAGAGAAAGTTTCTCCTTCCAGACCACCAGGAAGAACAGAAAAGCTAGGCTCCCAGCTAGGGAGGGAGGACTTGATTCCTTATCTTTGAGGTTTAGTGGACGGTCCTGCCCTACCCCTTCCGGAGCCCTCCAGCTACAGGCCTGGCCTTTGTCCCTCTGCCCTCAGGTCAAGAAGGTACCTAGAAAGCCAGGCTTGGGTGGCTCACCCCTGTAATCCTAGTTACTTAGGAGGCTGAGATCTGAGGATTACGGTTTGAAGCCAGCCTGGGCAAGAAAGTCCACAAGACTCTCATCTCCAATTAACCACCAGAAAACCAGAAGTGGAGCTGTGGCTCAAGGTGGTAGAGCATTAGCCTAGAGCAAAAGCTCAGGGGGACTGGGAATGTAGCTTAGTGGTAGAGTACTTGCCCAGCATGCATGAAGCCCTGGGTTAGATTCCTCAGTACTACATAAACAGAAAAGGCCAGAAGTGGCACTGTGGCTCAAGTGGTAGAATGTTAGCCTTGAACAAAACAAGCTCAGGGACAGTGCCCAGGCCCTGAGTTTAAGCCCCACTACTGACCTCCCCACCCCTTCACTTAAAAAAAATCTAGAAGAAGCAGGGTGAACAAACTGGGGGGTGGGGCAGCCTCACAGTTGTGCCCTTAGGGCTTCAACTGTTCTGAAAGGCAGGGAGGGAGCTACTATGTTTGCCCAGAAGAGGAGGCCTAAAGAAGGCAGGCTGGAATCTAAAGGCCTGGCATGCCTCTGGTAGGGAGGAGGGAGAAGAAAGGGAAGGCTCCTCCTCCTCCTGCAGGGAAAGGGTGTGTTGACAGGAACAAGAGCCCTAACTTGTCTTTTGTGTTGGTGTCGGAGAAAATAAGTGTCACAGTAACACTTAGGCTCTGTTCTAAGTGGCATGTGTACAAATTCACTTAATCTTTCACACCAACCCTGTGATGACAGTACTATTTGCGAACCCAGTTTGCATATGGAAATAATTGAGGTACTAGTCTTGTTCACCTGCCAAAGGTGGAGTGGTGAGTCAAAGCCAGGCATTTGGGTTCCTTTCAGCTATATATCCCACTAGTCAGGACACCTGGGACCCTTTTTGTTTGTTTGTTTTGTTATAGTAACACCAAGTGTATAAGGTATCTTTCATACACATCTAGGAGGCATTCTGCCTGCCATCTTCTTTCAGCCCAGTACCCAACACTGTTCTAGGTCCCAAAGGATCAGTGACTTGGCTCAAACTCAGAGCGTTGAGTTCTTGCTTGGCTTGGATGCTCAGCTGGTGTTATAGTACTTGAACCACAACTCTACTTTCAGCCTTTTGCTGGTTAATTGAAAATAAAAGTGGATTTGTTTGCCCAAATCACAATTCTCAGATCTCAGCTTGCTAAGTAGCTAGGATTATAGGCATGTGCAACGTGTACTGGCTTTCAGCTTATCTTTTCAGCTCCAGAAGAAAGAGACAGAAGGCAACAGTATTGCTATTGTTCCCCCTTAATAGCAATTTCAAGTCCCTGTGGTCACCTACAGGGTGACCAGTATTTATTTTGACTCAAGAGATGCCATATTGGGGCTGGGAAGGTGGCTCAGTGGTAGAGTGCTTGCCTAGCATGTATGAAGCCCTGGGTTCCATTCCTCAGTACCACATAAACAGGACTGGCAAAAAAAAAAAAAGAAAAAGAAAAAGAAAAGAAAAAAGAAACCATATTTCTATAACTTTTTTTTTTTTATTTTTTTTGGGTTCGGTCGTGGAGCCTGAACTCTGGGCATGGGCATTCTGGGCCTGGGCGCTGTCACTCAGCTCTTCAGTTCAAGGCTAGTGCTCTACTACTTGAGCCACAGCGCCACTTCTGGCTTTTTTCTTTTTGCTTATGTGGTGCTGGGGAATCGAACCCTGGGCCTCATGCATGCAAGGCAAGCGCTCTACCACTGAGCCACCTTGCCAGCCCCTATAACTTCTTTTATAGTGTATGGCTCTAACTTTTTTATTTATTTTATTTATTTATTTTTTGTTGGTTGTGGGGCCTGAACTCTGGGCCTGGGCGCTGTCCCTCAGTTCTTTAGCTCAAGGCTAATGCTCTACCCCTTGAACCACAGTACCACTTACGGCCTTTTCTGCTTATGTGGTGCTGAGGAATCAAACCCAGGGCCTCATGCATGCAAGGCAAACACTCTACCACTGAGCTACCTTTCCAGCTCTGTTCTATTTTATTATCAATTATTATTTATTTGTTACTGTGCTTAATTTGTAATTTGTCCATAAGTCTGTATACATAAAGAAAAAACATTATATCCAGGATTCCATAGTATTCAAAGTTTCAGGCAGCCTTTCATGGATTAAAGGGGTGGGGGCAATTACATTTTCATCTCCAGATAAGGAAACTGAGGATTAAGGAGGTTATACATAGCTTTCCAAAAACAGTGATTTTTTCTTTTCTAGACAGGGTCTTCTATATTGCCTAGGTTGGAATCAAACTCTTGATCTTCCTGCCTCTGCCTCCCAAGTGCTGAGCTTACAGGTATGGTGCCATCATGTCTTCAAGACAGTCATTTTTCAAACTCACAGCATATGTAAGAAATAATATGGCTGTGTATAGACACATGCATATATACATCAAACGAAAAATCTCCTTAACTAGTACTTATCCTTACTGTGTGTGAGGCTCACTAATACTTTCTATTTCATTTTTAAGATGGTGATTCAACCCACTACACTTTCACAACCCAATAAAGGGTGAAGATGCATGGTTTGAAAAACAGGGTAATACGCCTACTATTAATGACATGATAGACATAATGCTATAAGCACTGGCTCAGACAGGAATCACATAACGGGTGCAACATCCCTCACTTGGAAAACATTATTGTATGAACCAATAAACATCTTGAATCCTAAGATAAACAGCCTGGTGTATTGTAAAATGTCTTCACATTTTAGTAGTTATCCCTTGGGTAATAATGACTGTCTCGTAACACTCTGGGGCAAGCACATAAATGAATACCTTGCTTCTAAGAGTTAAGTTTCTACTGATTCCCTTTTTTTTTTTTCTGATAGCATCTTATGTCTCAGACTGCAAAACACCCAAAAGAAAAGAACTTCACATGCCACAATCACGCTGCATAATATCCAGATTCATCTAATAAGCACTTTCTGCAAAGGCAAAAGCATCTTCAATCTGTGGAGTATGTTTATCTCTTGAAACATTTTAATAGTTCCCACCCGATTTGATTCTCAGAACAATTGCTTCATCTCAGCTGAGGGCTCAGGTTGGTCTAATGCCCCAGAGCCTTGGTGCTTCTCAGATAAGTTGATGTTAGGCAAAAATGAACCCCAAGATAAGGACTCTTTCTTGCTATTGTTTCTAACATATTTATAAGATGATTTCTTTGTTGCTTTGTATGTCCCTCCCTCACGGTATAACCCCTGTTTTCACTGTATTTGATGTTGGTATAATTTGGGGAGGGGAAGGGAAAAAACAAATTGTTTAAATAGGGATACAGATGGATCCATTGCAACAATGAGATGTACAGATGTTATGTTGAAAAATGAACTTTACAACTTGGGGGGGGGGAATGGTAAGGGGAAACAAAGGAGGAGGCAACAATGCTTGATAAGAAATGTATTCATTACCTTGCTCATGTAATTGTAACCCCTCTGTACAGTATTTTCACACTAAAAAACTTATTCATTAAAACAACAACAACAAGCAAAGACAACTTCTGCCTCCCACTTTCTGACAGAGGACCTTTGGAATAATGCTAAAGGTCTTTCTCAGGGAGGAGGAAGGACCTGGTCCAAGGATGACAAAGAGGTATCACCTTGATTGACTGGTGGAGACTGCCTAAAGAACAGGATGGAGAAGACAGCTGGGTGTTCCAACGGACAGAGCCCCATATAGATATAATGCCATGGTCATAGTGATGCGATGTTTGCCCTCCCTAATTTATGCATCCTCTCCAGCCTTCCCCAGAGGACAGTAACAGAAAGTCAGTGGATACCAAGATTAAGCAGAGCTGTACCAATCTATGTCTGGTCCTCATTTATCTACCAACTCCAAAACCAATTGTAGAACATGACATTGGCTAAAGGGGCCAATGGCCCCTGGGCAGATACTTACCAGCAACAAGGCCTCCAACTGGTTGATGTAGATCTCTTCACTGGCCAAGAATCCAGACAGAACAAGTTTCCTCATCTCCAGGCCCTTCCCTGCTTCCACCTGCAGGAATACAAGCCAGAAGGAGGTATGAGAAAGGAGTCCAGATCCTAATAGGCCCATTTTCTTGCCTTTTTTTTCCCTTTTAACTTCCCCCCACCCCCCAATCGTGGGACTTGAACTCTGGGCCTGGGCGCTGTCCCTGAGCTCTTCAGCTCAAGGCTAGTGCTCTACTACTTGAGCCACAGAGCCACTTCCGGTTTTCTGGTGGTTAATTGGACATAAGAGTCTCATGGACTTTCCTGCCCAGGCTGCTTTGAAATAAGATCCTCAGATCTCAGCCTCCTGAGTAACTAGGATTATAGGCATGAGCCACCAGCACCCGGCTTTCTTTTAACATTTTTAAAGGAGGTAAAATTTGTACAATATGAAAATATGAAAGAAAAATAAACTACCTATATTCCTGCTACTCTCTTGCTTTTTATCTCCTACCCTATCTGCACCTTTTTTAAAATTTAATTTTAGGGGCTGGGAAGGTGGTTCAGTGGTACAGCGCTTGCCTTGCATGCATGAGGCCCTGGGTTCCATTCCTCAGCACCACATAAGCAGGAAAAAAAAAAGCCAGAAGTGGCGCTGTGGCTCAAGTGGTAGAGCGCTAGCCTTGAGCTGAAGAGCTGAGGAACAGCGCCCAGGCCCAGAGTTCAGGCCCCACGACCGGACACAAAAAAATAAATAAAAATAAAATTCAATTTTATTGTTAAGGTGATGGGCAGAGGGGTTACAGTTACATATGTACTGAGTACATTTCTTGCCAAACTTATTACCCCCTTCTTCATTTTTCTCCCATTTTTCCTCTCCCATCACCCAACCCAAGTTGTACAGTTCATTTCCAACATATTGTTTTATGAGTATCTCTGTAGCATTGGTTTGCCCTTTGTCCTTTGTCTCACCATTTTGTTGTTCCCCTTCCCTTCCCTAATTCAGATTAATGTATATACAATACTCAGGGTACCAAAATCAAATACAGTGACAACAGGGGATATAACATGGGGTGGAGGTGGGGGAACACACACAAAAAAAGAAATCACATTAAAAACAACAACATCAAAGAAAAACCTCTTTTCCATATCTTGGAGTTCATTTTTGCTTAGCATCATCTTTTTTTTTTTTTTTTTTGGTTGGGGGGGGGGTCCAGTTGTGGGCCTGAACTCTGGGCCTGGGCGCTGTCCCTCAGCTCTTCAGCTCAAGGCTAGCACTCTATCACTTGAGCCACTTCCGGCTTTTTTTTCCTGCTTATGTGGTACTGAGGAATCGAACCCAGGGCCTCATGCATGCAAGGCAAGCGCTCTACCACTGAGCCACCTTCCCAGCCTGCTTAGCATTATCTTACATGGTCATACGCACATAGCTATTGAGCTATTCTGTTCATCTGCTAGGACTATCTTAGACATATATTAATTATTACAAATGAGGGAAACCATGGGATCTATGTTTCTTTTTTTCTTTCTTTTTTGCCAGTCCTGGGGCTTGAGCTTAGGGCTAGGCACTGTCCCCAAGCTTCTTTTGAACTGGGGCCTGAACTCTGGGCCTGGGTACTGCCCCTCAGCTCTTCAGTTCAAGGCTAGCGCTTTTCCACTTGAGCCACAGTGCCACTTCCGGCTTTTTTTTTTCATTTTGCTTATGTGGTGCTGAGGAATCGAACCCAGGGCCTCAGGCATGCAAGGCAAGCACTCTACCACTGAGCCACCTTCCCAGCCCCTCCCCGAGCTTCTTTTGCTCAAGGCTAGCACTCTACCACAGCATCACTTCTGGCTTTTTCTGTTTATGTGCTTCAAGCAGGCTCCGCAAGCACTCTATGACTAAGCCACATTCCCAACCCTGGATCTATGTTTCTTTGTATCCCCCCATTTCTTGATTTGATATCCATCCATCTGTCCATCTGTTCGTCCATCCATCCGTTCATCCATCCACCAACCTAGCCAACTTGGTCATGGTGAACAGGACAACCAAGGACTGGCTCTCATGTCTGATGGGCAATTTAACAGAAAGAGGAAGATAAAAAGTTTACATAAGAGCCAGACAACAGTAGTTCTCACCTATAATCCTAGAGACCCAGAGGATTTTAGTTTGAAGCTAGGCTGGGTAGCAAACTCCATGAGATTCCATCTCCAATTAAGCAACAAAAAACTAGGCTCAAGTGGTAGAGCATTAGCAGAGCAAGAACCTTCAGTTCAAACCTGGTCCTAGCCAAAAAAGTTTACAAAGGAAAATCAGTCCTAACAAGTAGGATATGGTTACATGGGAAGGTACAGCAAGGGTCACCCTCTAAGTCTGGGTGACAAATTCAGCCCCTTAAAGAAGTAGAGTATCAAGTGAGAGAAAAAGTGAGAGAATGGAGAATGGATGTCCCAGGCTTGTGGTCACTTATGACAAGAGCTTCCTGTGCCTGGGGACTTGATTCCACAACAGAATGTGTCAGCTCACCTCTGTCACCCTCTCAGCATTTCCTCCTGGTGTAAATACAGACCAAGGCAACTTCCTTCTCCCTGCAGCATTCCTGCTCCTCTGTGGGGGAAGATCATAGTCTGCTTAGCCTGGAATGACCAGCAACTAATCCAGTGCTTGGTACAGAGAAAGCACCCCACAATTTTTCTTATAGGATCCTCAGGAGTCACCTAGCCTCTCCTCTCGTCTCTCTCCCTTTCCTCAGCCACATTCTGAAGCTTCCTTTCTAATCTCTTACATTTCTTCCTTGGATTCTACCCTCCCTCTGTGGTGGCAAGCACTCTCCGAAGTTCTCACTCCCCCCGTCTACCCACTAAAGCTGGGCCAATCTTCTCAGAATGCTATGGTATACCAGAAGCTTGTCAAGGCCTTCATGTGAATCCTGCAAAATTGGTCTGAATGATTTGTTCATTTCTCTATTCATCCAAAAGATCCTGAATGCCCACTAGGCCCTTAAGTATAAACGGGAAAAAAGCAGACCACAGTCCCTGCTCTCATGTGACTTATAATCCAGTAAGAAAAAAAAAGATATCAGGTCCATAACCACAGTTCATAGATGCCATCACTTCCTTTACACCTGCAATGGGCCAGTACCTTCCCTACCTTTCCAATCTCCTACGTCGAGATCGCTGCCTTCCCAACATGTCAGGAGAAAGTGGCCTCTGAATGCAGTTCTATTGCTGCCACCTAATGCACCCTTCTGCCCTAGCTCTTTTCTTGGGTAATGCTACCTCTCCTTAAAGGCAGAGTTGAAATCTGGTCATGTCCTCAAGTCTCCCTGGATTGCCACACAGCCTGCAGAGGCACCCTCACCTGCTTACATGCAGTGATTTGGTAAGGTCTTGACAGCATCTGCATCACACCCTTCCTCCCCAAGGCCAACACTATATATATACACCTGCCTTTACTGGGTTTGAACTCAAGGTCTCCAAGTACTTTATCACTTGAGCCAAGGTCCAAGTGCTTTTTGCTTTAATTATTATCGGGTCTTGTATTTTTACTTGAGGCCAAGTTTGATCTTGATCCTTATACTTATTGACTGGGAAGATTTCTTTCTTTTTTCAGAGCTGAACTCAGGGGTCTTACACTTGGCCAAGCAAATATTCTTCCACTGAGCTAAATCCCCAATCCCCAATCCCCAATCCTTGTACTTATTTCCTAGCCACTAGCATAGTGGGATGACAGGAATGTGCAACCATGCTCAGCTTGTTGGCTGAGGTGGGATCTTGCTAACTTTTTGCCCAGGCTGGCCTAGAAACACAGTCCTCCAAATCTTTACTTTCCAAGGCATTTTTGAAGGCATTTAGCCTTCAAACACTCCACTAAGGGGAGTACTATAATTTCATGCTAGACAAATGGGAAGACTTAAAAAGACATAAGGAAAAGGTCCTAGGTCACATGGCTAGGAAGCTGCAGGGCTAGAATTCTACCTTGGTCCTCTAACACCAAATTTTGTGCTCCTGCTGCTCTCATGATTTCTCTGCTCTCTGATTTCTTCTTCAAGCGTGGGTCACCTGCTCAACTGTTATCTCAAACAGATCCCTTCTGGGCATTGAGGAAAGTAAATGAAGCCACCAGAAACCTCATAAACTCCAGAGAAGAGTTGCTTTCCCACAGCTGGACCACCTGCCCCTGAGTCCTCACAGGTTTTTCCCATCTTTTTTCCGAGGTGGGAAACTTCTCCTCCCATTAGCAACCCAAATGGGAGACCCGACTGGAGGCTGCTGTCCCCAGAGTCTTTGAAATGTTATCTGACCTAGAGAGGGTCACATCTTGATCTATAAAAGCTGTGACACAGAGGAGTTTGCAGATGTGATTAAATTTGAGATGGGGAGAGTCCAAAATTACCCAGGTGGGCTCTATATAGCCACAAATGTCTTTATAAGAAGTGAGCAGAGGCCAGGTGCCAGTGACTTACACCTATAATCCCAGCTACTCAGGAGTCTGAGATCTGAGGGTCATAGTTTGAAGCCAGCCTGGACCAAAAAGTCTGTAGGACTCTTATCTCCAATTAACTAAAAAAAACTGGAAGTGGAGCTGTGGCTCAAGTGGTAGTGCTCTAGCCTTGAGCAAAAAATAAAGCTTAGGGACAGCACCCAGGCCCTGAGTTCAAGATCCAGTGCTGGCACAAGGCAAACAAACAAACAAACAAATAATTAAAAATAAAGAAGGGAGCACAGGGCTAGGGTTAGTTAAGAGGCAATGTAATAATGATGGTAGGGAGGATGGGACACTGCTGGCTTCAAAAGATAGAGGCTGGGACCAGAAGATAGGGGATGCAGGAGGGCTTTAGAAGCTAGGAAAGACCAAGAAAGTGATTCCTTCACTCTAGAACCAATGAAACTGTGCTAGCCCTTTAAAGACTTCTATGTGTATACACATACACACATACCCATTCTCACTCATATAAAATTTCTAAATAAGAGACTAAATCTGTTGTCTTAGGGCATTAAGTTTGTGGAAATTTGTTTCAGCAGCATTAGAAAGCCAATACAGGCCCCCAGCGTTAGGGAAAGGCCTAAGTTATTTACCACTGGCTTCACAAGTACAGGAATCTAGTAGGTATTACCATTTAACCTCTGAGGCACACAGAGTGCATAGTGCCAGCTACATCAGGTACAAGATCAGAGACAGCAGCAGGGCCCCAGGCCTTCAAGGTTGGGCCCATGATGTCCTCCATACTTGCTCTCCTCTCTGGGGCTAGTGCATCCCATTCCACACTTGTTCTACCCCAAGCAAAGATGGAGCTGAGGGCTTGGCACACAAGGAGTGCCAAGGAGTGCCACAAGGAGTACACTGTGAGCTTAACTGCAGAGGCATGGACTGGGACAAAGGGGAAGAACAACACCAAAGAAACCTGAATTCAACATAACACAAGCAAGACCCTTAGCCCCTATGGGAATTAATCCATTTTGGCGAGGCCTTTCCCCCAAGACCTTACCTCATAATCCAATCCTGAAGAGTGGTTTGAGGGGAAGACAAGTCAGAAAGATCTGTCCCCCAAAAGGTAACAAACAGAAATGCCCATCTAGGCTAGGATGAGGTGAAGGAGTCAGATAGTTTAATGATGTGAAATTAACCTTCATGTTTTACTAACAGGAGGCTTGTTGCTCAGTTACCATCCACCTAAGACTTCTTCCCTCTCCCCCTACCCCCTCTTCTGAGGGCCTACATGTTTCTGCTCTAGAACTACCTAGTAGTTCCCTAGCCAGTCCCTAGCATAGAGAACTGTCTTCTGGGTGGCATAGTCTCCTCTTCCTTTCCAGCTAGAATTTATGAAGTGCAGCCTTTGGTGGGCTTGTTCATGACTGGTGTTTTACACAAGCTACACAAGCTGAAAACTTGTCAGCCCAAGACTCCTAATTCAAAGACATCAGGACGTTATGGTAGTATCTACAGATAAGCCTTGGCCAACTCTGCCTAAGTTTCTGCAACCTAAATAAAGCCTCCAAAAGTTTGGTTCTAGGCCAAGCCAAGAAACACACTCTCTAGGGACCTTGATCTCCTTCAACACAACAGTAAGAACTAAACAGACAGGATTGGCTCTCTGGCTATGCTTCAAAGCCATAGGTCAAACAGCAAGGGTCAGAAACCCAGCAAATAGCACAATTCAGCCTGTGAGCCCACCAGCTTGCAACAAGCCTTCAGTGGGATCTGCCTGGAGATGCCACTGGGCCTAGGAGTCATGTGCATGGTTAGTCTTATACACAAGCTAAGCCTTAGCTCCCGGACAGCTGGTGTCTCTCTGAAGCTGAGTCAGGGCCATTCAGAGATTCTCTCCTCTCCCCAGCCTTAGGTAGTAGGCAGGTCTCTTATCTACTTCTTCAACAGAATTTAGAGCAGAAAGGATTGGGGCTAGCTGCAAAATTGCAGCTGCTCTCTCTTCTGAAAAGTGGATGTTTACATTTTGGGTTCCCTAATGTGATGGAAATCGTAGGCATTCCAGTGTTTCATATATCCCATCTTTCCCGGGTACCCATACTCACATACCACTCAATTTTGTTCTTTTCAACAACTTTTTTTTTAATGGGAGGGTAGGGGTGCATAAAAGACTGTGCTGTATAGCCTAGACTAATCGTGAATTCACTATGTAACCCAGGCTGGCCTTGAATTCCTGATCCTCCTGCTTTAGCTATAATCCCAAGTGCTGGGATTATTGGCTGTGCACCACCATACCTGGCCAATAACTGACTTTTTTTTTTTTTTTTTGGGTCCGGTTGTGGGGCCTGAACTCTGGGCCTGGGCGCTGTCCCTCAGCCCTTCAGCTCAAGGCTAGTGCTCTACCACTTGAGCCACAGCGCCACTTCCGGCTTTTTTCTTTTTGCTTATGTGGTGCTGAGGAATTGAACCCAGGGCCTCAGGCATGCAAGGCCAGCACTCTACCACTGAGCCACCTTCTCAGCCATAATAACTGACTTTTTAAAATCAGTCTTCTCTTATACGAGTCTTATTTCAAATCATGGAAGGATATGAAAGTCGTATTTTTTCTAGTATGTATACTTAGTGAAGTACAAAACATATATTCAGAGCTACCTAAAATAATCTGCCAAGTCCCCCCTCCCCCAACCAGGTGGCCCATACTTCAGGAAACAAACACTCAAGAGAGACAAAGGAGCCAGGTGCTGGTGACTCATGCCTGTAATCCTAGCTACTCAGGAGGCTGAGATCTGATGATCGAGGTTCAAAGCCAGCCCAGGCAAGAAAGTCCACAAGACTCTTATCTCTAAAAACCACTGGAAAACTGGAAGTGGTGCTGTGGCTCAAGTGGTAGAGTGCTAGCCTTGAGCTGAAGAGCTCAGGGGCAGCACCCAGGCCCAGAGTTCAAGCCCCACGGCCAGTCAACAAAAAAAAAAAAAGAAAAGAGAGAGACACAGGCAGGGGCAGCTGGTACTGCACAAGGAGACAAGGAATGGACCTAGGCATGTAGGACAGAAATACATGCATTTCAGAGAATCCATTAAAGGTTGGCACAGAATAACACCTGAAGCTTTAATCTGGAATACAAAAGGGCTTTTTATTCCTGACAAATGAGTTCCTTGAAATAGCAACTTCCACAAGGT